CCTCACGAGCAACCGAAACCGGAAGACTGGCGAGGAGATGAAGGAGATATTCCCAGATATGTACAACGAAGCTGCCGTAAGTGTTGCTTTATTCGGTATTTAAAAGTCTTGTCTAATGTTATGTGTGATTGAACTCGAGATTCCTTTACTAACAGGGTAGTTCAGTAGAAAATTTGATCGCTACGGTGACGTCACAGTGGCTATGCGTAAGCGTGGTGTAGTTAAAATGTCACATTTGACATCTGTGCCTTTTAAGGGTGGATTATCGAGAAACGGGGCTTCAAACATTCATGTAAACGTGTTTTTTTATAAACTTCTCAATTATAAGCTCGCCAGTTGACCCAGATGATCACCATCTTCCTATGTATTATGAATGCGTGGGAACTTTTTCCCGCCAGCGCGGCAGCGTGATGTACCTAACGGTAAAGGAATTTTGAAACTTGTTAACGGGGGATGGTTGAACTGAACTAACTATATAATTAGTGGCACCATTTTATATCCGCGCTATCAGGGAACAACATTGGATAGGAAAACATCTGGAAAATTTGTATAATTTTTAACCCACTCCCTCTGGTTTTTCTACCGCCTGCTGGGAAGTCACCCCCCCCCCCTCCCATCTAACTTGGCGGGTCCTAAGCAACGTAACCGTAACGAAACGCTCAAGGCGGAGTTGGGAATCTTGTCACAAACCATGACGAAAGCATTCCAGTCATTTTTATCAGGTAAAAGATCACCAGAGGTTGACACTTGACGTGGCGCGCTTTCAAACTTTTTGTGAGCTGGAGTAACTTACCTGACCTGACCTTCCACAATGATATAATGTTCACTTGATGTTGCTTGATGTTAATTCCATTCATTAATGTGATTTTGCGGTGTTTCCAGGTGTGGACTGACTTGGGAATGATCATGGGGCTCGAGGAGGACGTGAAGGAGCATGTCCTGCACAAAATCAGACATACCGCGAAGAAGTATGCCCAGACGATGATAAACGTGGAGCCGGCCGACAAAGACGGTGAGTTTTGAACGGGCACAAGCACACCTTTTCGGATGAGGTGTTCCGCTAGCAACAATCGTGCCGGGGGGGGGGGGAGGATACTCTTCTTCTATATAACTGGGCTCGAGCCGATCATCGTAGACAATATATTCCTGGCCAGGGCTGGAATAATGTTTAGATCTGACTGATTTTTTTTTTAGCGAATGTAAAGCTAGGCCCGAGGTATTTTCGATAAATACGAGGTCAGGCCAAAACATTAGCCAAGACCAAGTGTAGGAAGGTATTTCCCACGCATGCTTCTTCCTGCACGATGGAGAAATGACGTTTCAAAATCCCAATGGCGTAATACATTAATAGCAGAGGGCAGGACAACTGTTTATTTTCTTGATGATTTTTTTTTGTTTGCTTAAAGGAAGACTGCCACCTTTTTTACACAAAACGGTTTTCACTAGACCTAACCCACCTATGACCTACCCTGAAGTCTGTTTCCCGAAATTCGGCCTAGTTTTCAAGATATCCGCAATTGGACTTCAGATTAAAGCCATCACAAATGTGTGGAATATGGGAATGTATCATTACCATGTTAAAATCCCATCTCCCACACTTTTTGTGATGGCATCAATGTGAAGTTCGAATGCGGATATCTCGAAAACTAGGACGAATTTCGGGAAACGGACTTCAGGGTAGGTCATAGGTGGGTCAGGTCTACTGAAACCCGTTTTAAACCGAAAACCGTAAAAGGTGGCACTTTAACGACGGGCGGGACAGCATGTTGTACCTCACCTTTGGACAGCCAATCGTCGTTGGTTTTGCTATTAGTCAAAAAGTGTTGTTTAACTCTAGTGATATTGAAAAGTCATGGTTGTCTGATGTCTCCATTCAGGTTGTCTCCATTCATGGTTGTCTTCATTGTCTCCAAATATACCATAGTTACATGCAGTTTGATACCTACTTGTACTCCATACTTAACCATGACAGCGGAACATCGGGTACTAATTTCTTATTTCACTGAAATATTTTAACGACGTATAATTATTTTGTAATTATGCACCACGTTTAGTTGTGCATAATTAGTGTATTAATAGTGTAATATGTAATAGTGTAATAGTGTAATAATAGTTAATGTGCATAAGAGTGTATCGTACTACGCAAACGTACTACGCATCGTACTACGATTTTGAGAGTGAAAAGAAATCAGCAAGAAGCGAAAAATCATCTCCAGATACTGTAGATGGCATAGCCAGCTACTGTACGAACGCGGTTCCTTGTTTCTCTCCTAGGTTTCCTTTACTTTTATTTGTACGATATGCATTGATGCCAACTGACTGCAATATTCTTTTTCACGGCAGACGACGAGCTGCTAGCTCTACTTGCCTATGGTTGTGGAACAACCATTGGCACCTTGGCGGATCCGAGAAACGGGGTTCGTCAGGCAGGTGAGGAACTATCGGTGGACGGTGTGGTGGTCTGCCAACTGCCGGCCACCAGGTTGGAGACCGTGGCCCTAATGACGGCCGCCCACGCTGTCTTCTACACAAAGTTCACGGGGCCCTGCAGGGCCCTGTTCGAGATTCTTTACCAGAGTGTGGGATTCGATGTAAACCTATCTGGCTTATCACAGAAGGTGTGGGAGGTTACCCAGGTAGTGTAGAACCAGCATCGGAGATGCCCACTTCGAATGACTGGCGACCTGTGGCTCACCTGTGGTTCAAGTGACTCGTGACTTGTGGCTCACCTGTGGCTCAAGTGACTCGCAACGTGTGGCTCACACTACTGGAGCCTATGTATTATGACTAATTCAGCTGCGGCGGTCTCAGTACGCCAATGAGTCTCAGCTTACGTCTTTCATAGCTCAGATCACGCTCGTTTTATATGCCATCCGTGGCGGTGGTTCTGTGCGCAGATGTTATTCGTTAGCCTCAGTGTTAACCATACACGCTCGTTTTATCTGCCATCCGTGGCGGTGGTTCTGTGCGCAGATGTTATTCGTTAGCCTCAGTGTTAACCATAACGCCCTTGTGAGTTGTGACCTTGAACGTCCTTCCAGTGATTTCGCATTGCGGCCGGCAGAGACGAAGTTTTGCCTCCCAGTTGAGACGCCGCTTCTCAACTAGGAAGCAAAATTACGTCCCTGTCGGCCGCAATGCGCCATCACTGGAAGTGCGTCCAAATTAAGATGTACCTGCTGATGCTCAGGTACCATTCGTTAATCAATTGTTGGTGTTTCAATACATTGTTTAAATGCATTCCTTATTTTACACTTGGTCATAATATTATCACATCACCCCGCATTATCAGGGGTGGTACTTTTACGCCGGGGCTTGATTTTACCGGGGAGTTACTCCGGGGTAAAATTATCGAGAAAAGGAGTGCTTTTTGGCATGGCAATATTATTCCCCGAATGGGAGTAATTTTAGTATTAAGTTAATAAAATTATCATCTGGGTGTAATTTTATCCAAAGATAGCATACTTTTATCCTCCGTCATAAAATTACTCCCTAGCGCGAATAATATAAGCGTTCGGATACTAAATATATTCTATATGCTAGTTTCATTCCCCAAAACTCCCCATTTTAGGCGCTTATGCCAGGTCATAAAATTATTCGATTGCAGGAGTGTTTTTTGGCATTCTAAAATAAGAAAATGGGGAGTAAGTTTTTTTCAGTGTTCTTCTTAAACCCGATGCTAGTTCGTGCAAAACCTCCAAAGGGTTTATCTTTCGCGCGCTTGGTGTGACGTAATATCACGTGACTAGGGAGAACGAAGAAGAACCGGTGTTGGTCGAGTTGAAGCCCCCTGGGGCCACTAAGACTGCACGCGAAGAAGCAGCACGTGTCTTCGGTCTATGTGAAACACTGTGTGTGTTCTTCATGAACCAGACGTTCTGCTTCGCCTCTAAGTCAGTTTACCCTAATACCCAAAAAACCTAAGTGTGGAATATTTTAAGATGCTTTTGCATAACGTTCTTTCAACTTGTTTTCAGTGTGCCATACGTCGCAGTAATTGCAGTTGTAGGCCTTCAATTAAATGCCTGATCATTCCAAATGCTGCTGAATGATACCAACGGATCACATTTCATTTCATTGGACATCAGTATTTTATCAAACCTCAGAAGTGAAGTTCTTAGCATCACAGAGCGTATTTAGAATTTCATCAGATTCAGCATTACCGAGTGCAGGTTATGCAATGATGTTTATGAAGGAAGTGCAGTGTGCCAGATAGAGGCAGCTATCCACATTCCATTGCACAATCAATGATGAGTGGACCACTCATATATGTCAGATGGTGATAAGCGGTCTTGAACCGCCTGCGAACGGTGCGCAGCGTGTGCAGAATTTCCCAATTCCCCCAGTTGCAAAATAAAATTATCGAAACCATTAACACTAAACCTAGCTAGAGAAGAACAGCAAGCTAAAGTAAAGTAATGTCGACGGCACTACATGCAATAATACCCATGCCGAAAAGGAAAATTGGTTATCTCAGTTGTTGTTTTACCCAGTTTTTTTTTGCGATGTTTTCCACTTATACCTAGATAAGTGACTTACAATGTCCGTCAAATATCTTCTTCTGTTTAGCCCTTGTATGTAACGATGTGTAATGTTTTATAGCTACCTATACCTAATATTTCATTCGGCAGCTTTGATCGGCAGCTTCTGTTGGCGGCCAACAGCTTATCATCGGTGACTTGAAAATCATGGATCACAGGTGGAATCCCCGTTGAAAAGCCGGGGCTGGAGTCTTCAGAGCCGTTGCAATTTGCCCGGAGCCAGTGCATTGGGCGGAGGAATCAGACCCGGAGTCAGAACCATTTAAACTTATAACTGCCTCGCATCTTTGCTACCGACTTAGATTATATTGAGTACCGTGAGCATTTTGAGTGCGGCGATGCCATAGAAAGGCCTGAGCATCGCACGCAGTTCGCTAATGCTCAGTTGGATACATTATCACTGATAACTGATAAGTGATATCCTCTAAAATTCAAGCGGGAAAGAATAACAGATCTCACCTGCGAAATAAAGTTTAGCTATACCCAAATCTTCCGGACGAGCGTATCAGGCACTTCTTTGCTCCACCTCACGGTGAACTCCGGCGCAGAGTAACCGTGCACTGCAGTGCAGAGTGCCCGTGTACTGCAGTGCAGCCGTTTACTGCAGCACAGAGCAGCAACCGCCGGCCGTCCCAGCAGCAGCGCGCCGCTGCCACCAGTCTGCAGGTCCGCCCTGTCCCGACTGACTGCCCTCGGCGCCTCCGGCTGGACACCCAGCTGGACGGGCGGTAGTGTATGCAGATCTGACCGTCTGCCGCGGCCTCACTGCACGTCCCCTCGCCGACGTATGGCTCTCCTCATAGCACCGGCATGCCCCGTTAGTTAGCTACCGGTTTGGTTTATCAGCCATCATGCGGTCAGTACGTCGGACTGATTTGGCGTTGCCATAGCTGGCTGATGACTTCGCGCACCGTTTTTAGGGATGGCTGGAACCGCCTCTGGTCACGCTACTGGGTTCGTACTGTTTATTTACAATATACCCCAGTCTTCAGCGGAGCTCTGGTGTCCTTTTGGGTGGATGAGACGTAAGAGACGTTTGGAGTGCCGTTCCAGAGGGCCATCAAACCCGAACGACCGCGTCCCGCTCGACAGTCTGACCTTGAAAACGTCCCAAATAATAACGAGAGGAAAGGAACACCACTGGATGCCTACGTGTGTGAAGGGAACACTCGTACAGTCAATACTCAAGCATCGTATCACACTTACCCACGCATGAAACTGACATATTGTATACATATGATGATGCATCTCCTTTCTACTGTTAAGGCTGAAACAGACTCTTTCCGCGTTCAGGAAATCGCATGCGAGAGCCTATTCAAATACATTGTAATTCTTCTCGCATCAATCGCTTGCGGGAGGTGCGTGCGATTGATGCGAGCGTGCTTCCATGTATTTGAATAGGCTCTCGCATGCGATTTCCTTACTGCGGAAAGAGTCTGTTTCAGGCTTTACCCAACCAAGGATGAGCGCGGCTAGTCGCTGCCCGCCCCGCGGCAGAACCACAGGTGAATGACCCTACCCTGAGATGAACGGGAGTGCGACTGGCGGCGCCGGTGGCCCGGACAGTCTCCGCGGGGCCGGCCGGCGTGTGGCACCATGAGTAGACTGTGTGACCTGACCTGCGGGTCGCCCTGTTACCTCCGGTGGCCTGTGGTGCGCATTGTGGTGCTATCAGTCGTAGGTGTCTTTATGTTTTCCCTGCTGACGAGAGTTCGGTCCAATGAACGGTGAGTTGACGGATCAATGCGATGGTGGGTTGCAGCAAGGTTTGAAAAGCTTGGAATTTCTGCTAGGTCGTGCATTATTGTGCATATTCTGTTCTCACACTGAGCAGCCTTCACGATGAGTGATCATATGTGTTTTAGATCGGGGTTCACCGTTAAATTATGTTTTATGTTTTAGATCTTTGGGAGGGAACGTTTGACTAGATGGTTTAGAATGTGGAGTTATTTTATTTGGATAATGATGTTTTGGATAATGAAGTTATTTAGTTCGGCTATTTGTCTTAGATAATAAAGTTATTTAGCTCTGCTATATCGACACCCTTTTTTAAACCCCACATTTGTTCTCCCGTGAATTTCAGACAAGTTGTTTAGAAAGCTTCAAAAAAGGTACAGTCACTCGATTTTTCTCAAGTTTGTCTGTCTTGGCAGATCAAGCAATGCCAGAGCAAGCTTACGAACACACAAATTTGATCAGGATCGGACGATTGGACACTTCTAAAAAGAGATCTTTCTTGCTTCCCGGAAATTCACCGGAGAACAGATGTGGGGTTTAAAAAAAGGTGTCGATATGTTTTAGGCAGGGCAGTTAAAGGGACCCTCCCACCTTCAAAAAAGTTGATGAATTGGCACGAACGTGATGTCGCTCGGTTCAGAAAGAGCAAAAACGAATATCTACCAAATTTCATCGAAAAATATTTACCGGTTTTCAAGATATTAGACTTACTTTTGTTTACTTTTTGGGATCTCCGCTGTTCCTAGCGACTTTATTTGAAAGTGCGGCATTTGTTGCGCGCAAAGCAGCATATACCACCGCGTGCTACAAAACGTTTTAGTCAAACATTTAACGGACGTTCGAAAGCCTGATGACGTCATCAGATTCCCGTAATGGTTAAGAGATAGGGACCACGCTGGTCCCACCCTGCAAGTAAAGGGAAGAAATTTCTTGAACACCATAAAGCTGCGGGGGTTGCGACCAGGATAAATGGTGGTTTCTGAGCCTGGCCGCAAACTTGGCTATCTCAACTCAAAACTAATGTTAAGGTGGGAGGGTCCCTTTAATAAGTTCGGCTACGTGTTATATATCGAGAATGACGGTTCGACTATTTTTCTTTATATCGGAAGTGACCGATCGGCTAAATGTTTATGATTGCTGAGTGACCGTTTGGCTATAGGCAGGCGCGGATACAAGGGGGGGGGCCATGGGGGCCATGGCCCCCCCCCCCTTGGCCGATTTTTTCAAAAATAAAATAAAAAGTTAAAAAGTTAAAAAGCTGAAAAGGGGGCCTCCTGAAAATAAAGTAGCCGAAATCCGATGAGTTTTTTTTTTTTAACCTACCCACTTAGTTATTTCTTAGAAGACTAGCTGAGAAGACTTCTTTGTTAGAAGATTGGTAAAGCTTTTCATAACTTGGAGGTCTCTTATACTCACAGAGATGACCACTTTTACAGGGCCTCCTAACCTGCACAGAGGGCCTCCAAGCCTGCACAGATGTTGAGATGTTGCCTGAACAGCTAGATAAGCTCAATAGACGCAGTTTTTTTTGGGGGGGGGGGCCCAACAAGTGGGAAGATGGGGCCTCCAACAGGTGGGATTATGGGGGGGGGGCCTCCTGGTTTCTAATGGCCCCTCCCTTGGAGATTTTCTGGATCCGCCCCTGGCTATAGGTACATACCTATGTCTGTTATTGGAGGTGATTATTCAGATATGTTTTAGAGCAGGCTCTCTGTCAGTAGTCGGTCAGTTTCTTACATGCTTGATGTTTTAGAGCTATGTTTAGAGCAAATTTAACATCAATCTGGCTGTGCTCAAATATTTCAGAACGCCGTGTGAGTGACCGTCCGTCTCCATGTTTCAGAACTCCCAGGCCAGTACCGTTGTCAGCGCCGCTGGGAGCAGAGACACTGGTCGGTGCCGTGAACTCTGTGGAGGCGATGAAGGCGCTCTACAATTACCTGGAGCACCCGCAGCATTGCTGCCGCGATCTGCGACCTTTCGGCGGAACCCCAGGTCACAGCGACGGCTCAAAGATGGTGTGTATGGACGCGGAGGTCGCACCGCCGCCCGGCTCCTGTCTCGCGTACTCCTTCGGTGTGGCCAACGATTGGAGTTTTGACCGAGCTATGTATGAGAACGGGTGCGAGGTGCATTCGTTTGACCCCAGTGTGAACCACACCGAGGGTCGCACGCCATTCGGGCCCGTCTTCCACCGCCAGGGTTTGTCGGGGGACGAGAACACCACCCGTGAGGATGGCTGGATCGTGATGACTCTGGGCGACACAATGGATAGCCTGGGTCACGGGGACCGCACGCTTCACTACCTCAAAGTGGACGTGGAGGGTGCTGAGTGGACCTGGCTGGACGCAGAGCACGAGGAGGTACTGAACCGCGTCCGTCAGCTGGCCATGGAGGTTCATTTCCTCGAGCTGCAGCTGTTTGAGACTGAGGAAGATCTGTTTGAGGTCCTGGATGCGTACATTACGTCGTTCGAGCTGTTGCGCAGCCTGGGTTTCTGTCTGGTGAGTGTTAGTGAAAACCCCATCAACCCAGGCCGTCGTGTGATGCCCAGATGGGGGGAAGAGAAGGCGACGCTCTTTGAAGTGCTGTGGGTAAAACGGTGATTTTGTCAGGGTATATTAATTAGTAGGTATGCTATTAATAACCTTATGCTCATATTAGTAATTATATTCAAAAAGAAAAGTAAAAATTAATATATTTCGACTTGCGCCTTCATCAGAATATGAGATCAATTTGTCGACACACGAAATAAAACTAAGACGATTCACTGAGTACAAACGTGCATAAATAAACGGTGGCCTTCAATTCAAGATTAGGGTTACACATTTAGTAGGTCGAAATTCTATCATCATCATAGGTGTACATAAATAAACACAACATGACAGTCAATAAAACTGAACACGTATAATACATATTTAACACTTTGTAATACATATTTATAGAATGATATATAGTACATACAAGTGAATATGATACATAACAGTGAATATGATACATAAAGAATGTCATATAATATACATACATGAGACAATACATCATACATATAATGCATAAATACAATACCAGGTATGTTAAGTACAATACGAAATACATATATGGTACATAGAACAGGATACATATTTACATCGTATACCAAAGTATTTAAGTATGGTTCGTCGCAGAGGAGCCATGTGTATATGCTGGTGGTCTGAGGAGGGGCCAGGATGACGTGTGTGTGTTTAGAGAGGGTTTTTGGTTCCGAATTTCAATAGATTCTGATATCTTAAGGTCCGCTACGTCTTTGCACACTCGCTCGATGGAAATTTTGAATGACCGTGCAGTTATGTTGCTGGATGGGTGCTGCTGTGCCACATGGTCGCCGAGAGGTGTGTTGCGAGTTTTGTTTTTGGCGTTTCTGATGTGTTCGTTAAAACGATCCCGGACACGTCGCTTGGACTCTCCTACGTAAACTGCTGGATTGTCGGTGCACATGTTACACTCAATTTTGTATACAGCGTTCTTTGTGTGACAACGACCCTCAAGTCCCGCTTCGCAGGTGGAACAGCGCCTTTGACCAGCCGGACAGGGAGGGCTCTGTAGAGCTGATTTGGTTAAGTACTGGGTCAGTGTCTTTCCACTGGCCCAAGCAACACGGGCCTGTAAGCCTGAGGACTTGAACACCCCCTCTACCCGGCGGGCCAAAGTGTCATCAATGTAAGGCAGTGATACGTATGTAGTGTCATGCTTGTTTTTGATGTCTCTGTTCGCTTTCCTAGCTGATGTCCTAGTGTTGTGGCCTGTGGTGTCGCTAATGACTCTGTGTCTGGTTCTCTGTATGAGTCGATGTGGGTATCCATTGTGCTTGAACAAAGTTTCGATTATGTGCATGCCGCGGTTCTGTGCTTCTCTGTTTGACCCTAACCGTTTGGCTCTGAGGAGTTGCGAGTAGAGCACCGAGCGCTTGCACTGAATGGGATGTGCTGAGTTGAAGTGGATGATTATGGGTGCTGCCATGGGCTTAATATAAAGCTCTGTGCTGTACGTGCCATCGTTCTGGACAGTGATGAGTGTGTCTAGGAATGGTATTTGTTGAGTAGGAGTCTGGTCTGATCTCTCGATGGTAGGGTGAATAGGTCAAAAACGCCCCCAGTAAGCGCGAAACCTTCTGACACTCAACCCAACCCAGATTACTCAAACCTTTGGGCACCATCATGTAGCTCATTCTTTTTACTACGCTTTGAGACCAAGAAAAGACACTTGCGTGTGGTATTTAACCCCCCAAAAAGGTTTCCGCATACCCTTACAAAAGGGCGTTTTGCCCCACACCCTGGGTAATACGCCCACACCCATGTGCAAAGCGCCCCCACCCCATCCATCAACAGAGAAAATGATGAACATGGCAGAACTTGACGTCATTCTGACGTCATTTGTGGTCAACCTATCATAGCCTTTGGAATAAAATGTTGTTGCAATGTGTAAAATGGATGCCCGAAGGAGTCCTGAAAGTTTGGTGACGATATCTGCAGTCGTTTAACCCGCGCCCCACTGGGGGGGGGCTATTTATAGCCCCCCCTCCCGTTTTTCTGCAATAACTTCCAAACCGCTTGACGTATCGACGCCAAACTTTCAGTACCTTCGGCTGCATCAATTTGACACCTTTTGTCAAAATTTGAACTTCGTAGCTACCATAGGTCGGCCGGAAATGACGTCAGAGTGACGTCATGTTCGGCCGATTTTGACGCAAAACATTGAACCACGGCAATCGCTCCCAAGGGCTCAGTTTTTAAGCTAGATCCAATTTCTTTGCATGAGAGGACTCAGAATCGACTGCGCTATCAAACTGCTATCTCGAATTTTCGAAATTTTGAAAATTTCGAAAATTCTATATAATAAAACTCAAAATTTACATTTTTACATTTTTTTCAAAAAGTTTTTGACTTTTCGAAAAAACCGGAATATATGTGATAGAACGCGTTATTATGAATAACTCTAGCAAGTTTTAGCTAAATATCTTCAAAAATAGCCAAGTTATACGCATTATTGCAAAAAAATTCACAATTATTAATTTTTCAAATCAATTATTCACCACGTATTTGACATCGTACGCCAATATAAATAGCACCATCGTGTTCCTGAGCTCAAACTGCATCCAATAGACACCTTTTCGGTTGAAAAATTATAACTTCAAAATTTGACCTTTTTTGACCTGAAAGTGACCTGACCTAAGCTAAATTCGACTCAAAATGACCTCGGATGACACAGACGACATCAAATTCGAAGTCTTTGGCCTAAATGGACCATAAAACATGTGTCACGTGACCGACACATGATATAATATTTTCGTGACCTGTGATGACCTGATCTTGACCTGAAAATCAAAGTACAAGTTTGGTACCCTCAGGGTATCTAGAGCATCTGTTCACGAGTGTGTGAACCAAAAATGAGCCTGATCTGACTTGTAAGACGGCGGCCAGAGCCCAAAACGTGAACAAGCCAAAATGCTAATAATTTTTACTTTGACCTGACCTGTGACGTCATCGGTGACCTCGAGGTCAATGAAATTAGGTTTCGCTCGACAGTTTTTCCGGGGCTATCAGACGCCGTTTGAATTTTGACGATCGGCCCAGTAGTTTCGGAGTTAGGAGGGGGGGCTATGAATAGCCCCCCCCCCAGTAGGGCGTGTTATACGCAGACCCCAGTGGGGCGCGGGTTAACCCTATTAGTGGCAGGCTCCTGGTATACCCCTATTAGTGGCAGGGGGGGGGCTGTTTACGACCCCCCCTTGATATCTCGAGATCTAACGGGCCGATTTTCAAAATTCAAACGGCATTCGATTTCGCTCAACGTGATCTACATTTCTAAAAAATAAAAATTAAAATATGTCAACAGGGGGGGGGGTAGAGGGGGGTAAAAACGGGCAAATTGCAGATACATTTTTGACTGTTTATCACGGCCAGGTTTCTGAACCAATCCTAACGCAACTTTTGCCGATCGATAGAGAATGAACCAGGAATTCACATGGATCCTAAAAATATGCATTTTCAAAAATCATAGGCGGATACAGATCATTGAGATTGGGGGTACACAAAAAGTATAGTAAATAAGGTTTTTGTTGGTACTGTTTCTAAAAAGGGTGGTAATGGTCTTGTTATGTTACAATTTTCTTATGAGAGAACGACTACAATTGTATTGGTCATGCATAGGCGGTGTCAGGGCACCTATGTTGGGAGGTAAAACATAACCCCCCTTTTTGGACGCCTGGATCCGCCTATTATAGCAAAAACGTGTCAAAAGAGAATGCACAATAACTGTATATGTTATCACATGTATACCTTTCATTCACTGTTCGTAAAACTGGTGCAGCATCGTGATCTTCGCCCAAATGACTCGCTTCACGAATAGGACCCCCAATTCCCAGTGCTCTGGAGCCGCCCCTGGTAAAGTTATGAACTTGAAATTTTCAGGGAATAAGCCCAATTTAGTTTTAGGAAAAGTCAGAAAATTTCAGCATCGTAGCTTCAGCGGTTTCGGAGATATTCCCGAAAAACCTGAGGGGTGGATAAAAACAACCCCCCCCCCTGCCACTAATAGGGGTCGTTTAAGATGTATCAGCAAAAAAGGACAGGGAGAGGCCTTTTCGGCCCCGACCTACAGGGCGCTACCCTGCACTCTCACCACCGTGCAAAACGCCCCCCTTTCAGAAAACTGGGGGCGTCTTGCCCCATGCATCGAGTAGGCGTCTTTCCCCATCCACTCCATTTCCGGTCAACAAAATATTGACAAAAAACGCGCCACTAACGCCACAGCATAATAAATTCAACAAAATGACAATAAAACGCAGTTTTGAGTGATGTGCACAATAGCAAGTTTTGTGATATAAAAAGGGAATCAAAAGCTTAGGAATCTTCTGTAAAAACAACAAAAACAACACCCAAAACCAACATCAGCACCTACCCACGCTGCTCCTCAAGACGCAGAACCGGAAATAGAGAACTACGTAAACAAGCAGCTGACTGTTCTGAAAGACAGGATAAAACACCTATCCGCCGATAAGATCTACGATTTTTTTAGGGGAGGCGTTTAACCCAGGGGTGCGTTTTCCCCACAGTTACCCTAAACTTTAGCGCTGGGTGAAAGTTGTTGAGAAAATGAAAGTACTCATCAAGTTTTTCTGGTCCGTGTGTCCAGACCCCCAGCACATCATCGATATAGCGCATGTATATTACAGGCTGGTACTGCGCGGCGGGTGCGGTCAAAAGCAGTGACTCAATGGCGTCCATGAATACAATAGCCAGGGGTGGGGCTACCCTTGATCCCATCGCCACACCCACGGTCTGTTTAAAGTACTTCTCCCCGAATCGAACATAGTTGTTGTTTAGGCAATGGGATAGAAGTGTCTCTATATCTTGAAGACTAAGTCCAAATGTATTTATCTGATCTTTGTGTCTTTCAATGAGTTTGATGGTGGCCTGAATGGCTTCATCAGTGGGGATATTCCCATACAGATTTGCCACATCCACGGAAAATACTATTGCTCCTGCTGGGAGTTTGTTAGGGAATTGTGTTTTTAGTCGCTTTAGGTAGTCCTGTGTATCCGTGAGGTGCGCAGGAACAAACATTAACAGCTGAGTGATAATCCTTTCGAGTAGCCATGTCAGCTTGTCAAGTGGGTCCCCACAGGCAGAAACTATGGGCCGGAGCGGCGCATCTGGCTTATGCGTCTTAGGGAGACCGTATAGCTCAGCAGTACGAGTTCCGGATGGGACGACACTTTTCAGAACCTTTTCGGGGACCTTCCCTGTTAAAGTACTCTTCACTAGCCTTTTGGTTTCAGCTTCTAGCTTAGGGGTGGGGTTCTTGTCGATCGCTTCATACCCTGCTGTAATGGTTTGGGCTTTTTCCATATAGTCACTCTTTGACATCACTACTAGGCCTTTGCATTTGTCTGATCGTTTAATTACAAGGTCCGGGTCTTTGCCTAGCTCTCGAAGTCTACTTAGGTCACATTTCTGATGGTTGGGCTGCTGTTGAGTTTTGTGGTTTTTATATATAGTCATCACTTTGTTTTTTACAACTTTCAGTGTGTGTTCAATATTGCCATCAGCAGTGGGAGCCGCTTTAGTGTCAGTATCACTGAATCGTGGAATTGATGATGCCATGATGAAGCCATTCAGGCCACCATCAAACTCATTGAAAGACACAAAGATCAGATAAATACATTTGGACTTAGTCTTCAAGATATAGAGACACTTCTATCCCATTGCCTAAACAACAACTATGTTCGATTCGGGGAGAAGTACTTTAAACAGACCGTGGGTGTGGCGATGGGATCAAGGGTAGCCCCACCCCTGGCTATTGTATTCATGGACGCCATTGAGTCACTGCTTTTGACCGCACCCGCCGCGCAGTACCAGCCTGTAATATACATGCGCTATATCGATGATGTGCTGGGGGTCTGGACACACGGACCAGAAAAACTTGATGAGTACTTTCATTTTCTCAACAACTTTCACCCAGCGCTAAAGTTTACCATCGAGAGATCAGACCAGACTCCTACTCAACAAATACCATTCCTAGACACACTCATCACTGTCCAGAACGATGGCACGTACAGCACAGAGCTTTATATTAAGCCCATGGCAGCACCCATAATCATCCACTTCAACTCAGCACATCCCATTCAGTGCAAGCGCTCGGTGCTCTACTCGCAACTCCTCAGAGCCAAACGGTTAGGGTCAAACAGAGAAGCACAGAACCGCGGCATGCACATAATCGAAACTTTGTTCAAGCACAATGGATACCCACATCGACTCATACAGAGAACCAGACACAGAGTCATTAGCGACACCACAGGCCACAACACTAGGACATCAGCTAGGAAAGCGAACAGAGACATCAAAAACAAGCATGACACTACATACGTATCACTGCCTTACATTGATGACACTTTGGCCCGCCGGGTAGAGGGGGTGTTCAAGTCCTCAGGCTTACAGGCCCGTGTTGCTTGGGCCAGTGGAAAGACACTGACCCAGTACTTAACCAAATCAGCTCTACAGAGCCCTCCCTGTCCGGCTGGTCAAAGGCGCTGTTCCACCTGCGAAGCGGGACTTGAGGGTCGTTGTCACACAAAGAACGCTGTATACAAAATTGAGTGTAACATGTGCACCGACAATCCAGCAGTTTACGTAGGAGAGTCCAAGCGACGTGTCCGGGATCGTTTTAACGAACACATCAGAAACGCCAAAAACAAAACTCGCAACACACCTCTCGGCGACCATGTGGCACAGCAGCACCCATCCAGCAACATAACTGCACGGTCATTCAATATTTCCATCGAGCGAGTGTGCAAAGACGTAGCGGACCTTAAGATATCAGAATCTATTGAAATTCGGAACCAAAAACCCTCTCTAAACACACACACGTCATCCTGGCCCCTCCTCAGACCACCAGCATATACACATGGCTCCTCTGCGACGAACCATACTTAAATACTTTGGTATACGATGTAAATATGTATCCTGTTCTATGTACCATATATGTATTTCGTATTGTACTTAACATACCTGGTATTGTATTTATGCATTATATGTATGATGTATTGTCTCATGTATGTATATTATATGACATTCTTTATGTATCATATTCACTGTTATGTATCATATTCACTTGTATGTACTATATATCATTCTATAAATATGTATTACAAAGTGTTAAATATGTATTATACGTGTTCAGTTTTATTGACTGTCATGTTGTGTTTATTTATGTACACCTATGATGATGATAGAATTTCGACCTACTAAATGTGTAACCCTAATCTTGAATTGAAGGCCACCGTTTATTTATGCACGTTTGTACTCAGTGAATCGTCTTAGTTTTATTTCGTGTGTCGACAAATTGATCTCATATTCTGATGAAGGCGCAAGTCGAAATATATTAATTTGTACTTTTCTTTTTGAATATAATTACTAATATGAGCATAAGGTTATTAATAGCATACCTAATAATTACATTCATAATGCTCAAAAGTGCCATTGCAAGATTACAATTATATTAATTAGATATGAACGGGGCAAGAGGCTGCGTTTAAACGGTTTTTCGGAATACCATGCTCCGAAATGGCAAGGGGATTATTGTAGTCTACTCACCATGAGCTAAGTCTTCTAAATAATGCGGACGCCTGTAAGGTGATCACACTCAGGTACATTGAACGTTAAATTGTGTCATGCCATGCATAGTTGCCTTATGTCTTGTTGAGTGCTCTCTCAGTCATGGTGTGAAGCTGCCACATGATATTTTTTCATCAGTAAAAGACGGCGTTATGAAATTCAAAGTGTTATTTTTTCGTATGTGTGACTGTGCGAAGTGTGCATTATAATAAATAAGACATAAGTGCCACTTTGACTTCATTCGTTTTATTCTATCGGTCTGTTGAAGTGGTAAATGTGTAATAAAAAACGTCCAATTTTCACCATGTGCGTTTCAGCGCCAGCACCCGTCTCTAATAGATCTGCAGCCTATAGCAATTGCATGTTAAGCTACATACATTTTTTTCGACTTATCCTACCAACAGACAGTAACCGGCGACTTTCAATGCTGGACATTTTAGCCATTTCACTTTACCTATAACCTATAACTGCCTTCAAGTCAGTGCTCTGCACTGCACAAGCGGTGTGTGACGAGGCCTCAGCTATCAAGGCCCCCTCCCCCCAGCTATTCGACCCCCCCCCCCCCCGAGCATCGCGAACCATCCCGACGGGCGGCTCGCTTTTTTCAGGAAGCCCAGGAACGTGTTCTGTCGGATTACATACCGTCACGGCCGAGAGCTAGGCAGGAATGGTGTTTACCGCCGCGGACCCAGCGATGTATCGAAAGGAATTCATCAATCATAAAACAGACGTGAGTCGAGTCAAATGCATTGCCAATGCCGAATGTCGTAGATAGTCAGATATACAGAAACAAAGCACAAAACGATACCGAACAGATCGCACCGTTTGGCGTTCTTCGAGTACCTATAGGAAAAAAAACTTTTTACTTCGTCACTTAGAAGTCATTGACTTTACAACTCAGGTGGACCGCTGTAGCTCTTAATGATGCACTTGTGAATGAAATACGTTTAGCAAATCCTCGCAAACAAACGTCTGTATATCTGTATATATTGTATCACTAGGCAAGTATGTCATCAAATGCAAATGCAGCCAAGGCGGCGCCTGACGCGCAGCTTATGGACCGGTACCATAACGTGCCGGGTACGACTGTACCCGCCGTACCCACGCTCACTCACTGTACCACAATGCACCAGCACAATACCAACGGTTATATCACAGCTGACAAGACAGACACGGGGACCTATCGCTGGGGGGAGAAGGAGAGAGAGGGGAAGGGTACCGGTCTGGAAGACTCAGGGTGTCTGACCGGAGGCGGGAAGGGGAAAGAAAAAGGGTGTAACAAACAAAATTATCGTTGGGAATGTAGATAAAATGTGTCTATAATCTTTGCAAAATGTGGCGGTGGAGTAGGGTGACGTGTGTTTCGGTGTAAACCTGGGAAGTGAGGAGGAAAATGGTATGGTACATTTGATTCAAAATAAATGATAATTTGTTGCATATAGCCGGCTGAACGGCTAACGTAACATATGAACAAATGCAGTCACTCCAGTTTTCAATCTAGCACGGCTAACTCGGTGAGCCTGAACATGATCAGCAGTCGATGCGAAAAAAAAAACAGGCTGGTAAAATAGCATGAAACAATGACACTTCAAGACCATCAAGTGCTTGTAGCTGTTCGCACTTGCGCTCAACCACAAAACAAAAGCAGAGTTTAGACGAAGTTCACGCATGCTAGAAGTCACAAATCGAAATTCAATCATATAACATGATATGTCACCTGAACAACAATACTTGAGTAGGTATAAAATAAAAAACTGGGGTTTTAGCTCCAATCGATAGAGCAAAATAGGGAAAACAGAACGGTAAAAAGCACGGGAATGAAAACGCTAATTGCACACATGATCCTCGCACGCCAGCCAATAAGCAACTTTGTACTTGCCGAGCGTTGATAAAAGAAACATTTCGGAACGTTTCTTCAAAACGACCAAATAAAAATACTGGATACAAACAAATTGAAACAGGCAAGAGTGGTATGTACAGCAGAATACCGTGATTGACAACGGCGTCTAGAGCACGAGATTCGGGCAACAGCTTCCAGCTGCTGAGTCGGACAGCTTTTGCACGATTGCTATCAAATTCTATCACCTCCACGCGACTGTGCTCAAGGGTATGTACAAAGTAACTCGAGTCTCATATGGAGCTTGCATTCGTCGGTGCGACTGTACGCAGGACAAAATGGCGGCACAACACCATGGCTTCACTCTAGTACCTACTGCCTGCCACAGCTACCACTGTCAGCCCATCTAGTGTGCGTCTTGGCACTTCAAGTTGTCCAACTGGCCGCTAGGCGGTGCGTGTGTCGCCGCCGATCGCTCCGGCTTGCTGGCCGCGCTTGCTGAGATCAAGAAGAGCAACACTCACTCACGGGTAGTCTACCACATCGGTTGTCCGCACTGAACTGTTTATCAGCTGAGCCGGGAGGCGGGACTCACGGGTCTCTGCTGAGACTGTGGCACCATCGACTAAAGCACATCTCCTCAGCTCTAAACAGCTCCTCTGTAACACAAACCGGCGCTCGTAGCGTCCCACTATTCAAACGCACCGCTCTGTCGGCCATAGTCCGCTGAGAGGGCGTGCTGCCACCTATCGGTGCGACACTGCTGCCACCTATTGCCGCGATGCTGCTGCCACCTACAGGTAAACCCTGCGGACGCTGCGTGTGGTCGCGTAGCCGTCGCTGAGGGGCGGATCGTGGCGTACGGCGCCGTCCCGTCTGTACGACGGCTCGTCGAGCATTTCTGAAACAATACATAGTCAACGTCAGCCTCCTCTAAGAAACAAAACATCAAGAACACAAAATGGACGATTGTTACTGCACAAGCTGCAATTGACATCCGCTGGTAGTTCATCTTTTGCAAGATAACTTCTTTCAGCTCAAGTTTTTATCGATGTAACCCGCTAGCCCGAGTAATTAGCAGTGAGTAGCCAGCAGCTCTCTCCGATCCTTACGAATCGGACACCATGCTGTTCATGTTTTCCCTCTGATCGTGTCACCTAACTGTAGTATTAACCTCGACTTAAACAGGAAGTCGGCTCTGACCCTCCACCGAGCGACCGAACTACCGAACAGTCAGCTGTTCTCATAACTCAGTCAGCTGTTTTCTCTCTGGCCCAGATAGTATCCAACCACTCTATCCGACCATTCAGGGACCCGTGCCGACCCGGAGGCGGCGGCGGACCATCGATTTTCGACCCTCTGCTGGCGAGCGGCCTCAGAGGCGCCCGGCGGCCAGCCGTCTATCTTTAGAGGTGCCAGAGAGGATGAGGGTGGGGGTGGGGTGGAAGGGGAGGGGAGGGGAGAAGGCGCCACTAGATCCGGGCTTTGGTCGGAACAATAGTCGGTCTTTTGCAACCGAAAGTCAGGAGATTCTCAGAACCTAATGCTATCGAACAAATCCACTGATTTCTCTCTCCATGCATCCTTTCGACTCATTCATTTGGACATCCGCAAAACGAGCTTGATTTTCTCTCAAAACCTTCCGTTATCCCCAATCCACTCTGATAAGTGATAACCCATCCCCATAAATGCCGATTAATTATTGTTCGATCCCATTGAACTTTCCACTGAATATCCAAGCTACTGAGTCCGTACCTAGGACGTTTTGTCCAGCGCGAGGGCCATTGGGTCCGCATAATTTGTCAAAGCTAGACCATTGGGTACGTACCGAGTTCACTTTCGATCCTATTGAGAGCTTGGGTCCGTGCCCGAGACCCGACTCGTACTGAGAACCTACCGGAAACTCTAATAAGTCCGGCTTTCTCAAAGGACAAAGTCAGGTCACCGAGTCTGTGAGTCAATGAGTTAAGCTCCCTGAGATGCCAAGTCTATCCCACCATAAGCTACTGAGTTCATACCTGATTCAACGATCGAATTCCCTTAGTAGGTAAGCGGCTGAACACATACACTGAGGCATCCATCGGTAACTTGGTGAGGTCATACTTGAATCACTTGATAAGTAGGCGACTTCGTACACTAGCCCCAAGTCCATTGCCTTAGTGATTCTCAGGGCTCATACCCGAATCACCGTGAGTTGAGAGTGTGTACCTGAGTGATCGTCAAGGCGCAGGGGCCGACTCCGTAGCTGCCGATGGGTGCCCGTGCTGTACGGGTCCTCTCTCAGTGGTACCAGCTGGCCACCGTACTGGGCTGTGGATGACACGGCACCAGTGTGAATATTTAGTGCGGAGTATGGGGTGTGGTGCACGCACTGGTAAAGACAAGACAGATTGGTGCTGGATGTGGCGATAAAGCTACCTGAAGACCCCCTCTCATAGACAACAGAGGTGGTTCCATATACAATTAGACAATATACACTACAAAAGTATACCCATTGACATTTACTTAGCGTTGTCAGGATTCAAAAACAAAATGCGACAAAACAAGATCATCAAGTAAGACATAAGTAAAGTAAACACGACAGGAACGTTAATCGCACTAATGGGCTGTAGTCTGTACAGTGTTCAGTACAAACTCCGAGCTATTTTACAACAGCCCATGTTGGGGCCAGTGGAGTGGACAGTGAACTAAGTTTCACTTTACTTCAAGACCGAGGGATGCCAGCACACCATGCCAATAGGTCAAAGACGGCGGAGTACCTCAGACGGAGTTACTGTAAGACGGAGGGGTGTGTACCCGGTACCGTACCTGCGCACGCGGGCGTGTACCGCAGCGGCTCGAGCGTCCCGTCCGTCTGATTCTTTTTCAGAGTCCCTCCCGCCATACTATTGGTGGGTATGAGCACGGGTTCGGAATAGGTGACCTCCTCCGCCAGCAGAGTCGGGTCCGGCGCCAGCCTGGCACGGAGAGAGAAAACGCGGGGTCAGATCGAATGCGATAAGAAGATGCAGGGTTAGTAGCAGTCGTACCAGCCGAGATCTGGCGTAATGTATTGCACACTACGAATAGAAATGCGGATTATATTGCCGTTATCTGTCCCTCCAACCACTGTCTGTAGGTTTCGTCTAATCCTCCCATCCCCCTCCACGTTCCTGCCTACTTGTTTCCTTTCAGCTCTTTTCTTCTTCACTCACTCACTCACTCACTCACTCACTCACTCACTCACTCACTCACTCACTCACTCACGCACTCACTCACTCACTTACTCACTCACTCACTCACTCACGCCTCTCTCTCTCTCTCTCTCTCTCTCTCTCTCTCTCTCTCTCTCTCTCTCTCTCTCTCTCTCTCTCTCTCTCTCTCTCTCTCTCTCTCTCTTTCTCTCACTCTCACCTGGTGTTGACGTTCTGCCTCTGATCGAAGTACGTATAATCGGTGTCGGCATACGGCATATTCGCGTCATCCTTTCGACATCGGCGCGCACAACAGTGGCCGGCTGCGAACCCGAGTAAAAGGGCGACGATTGCTGTGATGGCCACCGCCACTGCCAGCGTTTCGGCAGTGAAAAGGTCGTCAGCGGCCACCGGGCCCGAAACGCTCGGCCTGCCATCTGGGGGCAGAAGAGGGAACTTAGATGAGGGGAGGGGGTTTTGGCTATGACAGGCGTCCGCTTGTGGTGCTGGCTGTTTCCCGCTTTATAGCTACGGGCCAGGTTGGCAATATAATTTCTTTGAAGCAGAAGCTGGTATGTCTCCGTCATTTTTTTTGATGGCAGAGGACCATCTTTTAATTTGAACATTATTCAAATAACATTATTCAAAATACGAAAAACAATCGTGGTGCTTCATGATACTGACGACACTAACAAGCCATAACACCGTCAGAGCTTTATTCATTGTCATACGAGACCACCGTTCCATGCTTCTATCCTCAGGATACGGAAATCCTTCTCCTCCACGCCGCAACCCCCCTCCGGCCTGGACAGGCAACTTTATCTCATGCGGGCTGCTCCCTTGGAGCGGCACCGCTTCGAGGGAGCGCACCCCGTAGCCGGGTGCAGTGAGTGCCTTGGGGCTGGGTGGCCTGTCCTCTGGACGGGCTCAGCCCCGGCGACTCACTAGGGTGCCTGCCCAGACCAATGTCTTCCCCTACATCCTATCATCCTCCCGGCTCTGAAATGGTCTCATTGGACCGAAAGGGCCTAACCCAACAAAACAAAACAAAACAAAACAAAACAAAACAAAACAAAACAAAACAAAACAAAACAAAACAAAACAAAACAAAACAAAACAAAACAAAACAAAACATACGAGACGGCAACGAACGTCTGGATAAGCAATCGCTGCTAAACAATTTTTGTATCCCAGTCCCTTGTCTCCCGACATGGCTCTGCATGTCTCCTCGGTGCTCCGCTCCACCTACCGTTTCCTGCGTCTCCCTTGTCTCCTGACATGGGTCTCTCGTGTCTCCTGGGTCCCCGCTCAGACTGGAAGGAGAGGGGCTGATCGGCTCCAAACGCCGGCCCGCTGCTGTCCAGGCTGTCCATGTTCCGGCCGTACTGGCCAGCTTTGGTCACACCTGAGAAAAACGAAAGAATAGTTAGACTATGGTGGACACGGCTGGAAGACGTCTATTTCGTCAGTAGCACCAGATCGGTCAGACTACGGATGAGTGAGCTCAGGTTAACTAGGTCTGTGTGGTTTTCTTAAACACACGACAGAGCCAGATAGGAGCCATTTCACCGTCCACAATATCCAAGCAAAGACTCCAAGCAGAAACATTCACCTTGTCGGAAAAGCTTCCTTCGTTCCCGACAGCCATCTCTCAACTCGCTACACTCAACGAGCAATCAAAATGCAAATGCGCCAATAGCGGTTGCAGCCTACGAATTTTCTACCCGGTCGTTTATTCAGGAGTTTTTATGGCATCTCATTTACGATATCAAGAAGAACTATCGTTTAAGCTCCTGTTGTTGTCAATCGTAATGGCCCTTCCCAAAATAAAACAGGTTTGTATGCTAATGAGGATCATTTCCGGCGCTGAAATTGCCAAGTGGTGGCCTGCACCATCTTTCGAATGAGAGGGGCTTAGCGCGGAGGTACCGCATTTTCAACCGTGGTATTTTTATTTTATGGAATTCAAAGATATGAAAAGAGAGCGACAACGTTTGACAGCAGGTTCGGTGTGTAACAAACACAGCAAATATATATGGCTGATGGTACCGATAGAAAAGAAACTGCCTCGGCCTTCGTCTGCGTGTGGAACTCAGCTTTTGCGGAAATGACGAGCTCAAAGTGCAGCAGTTCTAGGGAATGATGGCAGGCGGCTGAAAACGCGCTTTGATTTCAGTGCGGAAAACGCCACCACTCAAAATGTTTCGTTTCAGCGCGATGCTGCATACTGCATTTTGTTGCATGGAAACTCATTATCACCATCCGCTTCTTACCTTCGGGACAGTGACGGGACACTCCTTCTCGGACATTTTGCACCAGCTCGGAAGCGGAGAGTCGCTCAAAGTCGACGGGCACACATCGCTTCCTCCTCAGGTGCCAGGCGCAGTAGGGGTCCTGTAGGGCCACACACTCCCTGTGGGGGATAGGGGTAGGTAGTTGGTCAGGTGTCAGGTGCAGCAGGGGTCCTGCAGGGCCACACACTCCCTGTGGAGGATAGGGAAGGGGTCAGAGAGGAGTGCGAGCGGTACGTTAGCATGACAGGCACGGTATACATGGATATCAGAAGAACGAGAAAGTCGTAGTACGAAGTCAGTCAGCCGCGAGACATAACTATTCGTCGGGAGCAGTGGAGACATCAGTCAGAAGTATTAACAGTAGTTTGACGTAAAGGAGACAGATTTTGAGGAGCCAGACGAAGAAAAATCAAGCCTGGAGGACTCAGACGCATGAAAGTCAGACTCACTGGAGGGAACGTACCGTAAGTCAAAATCACGTGATCTATGTGTCACATGAAGGAGTTTGGCATACGACTTTTGAGGCAGCGTTAGAAACAATAGTCGAGGCACTAAATGAAACAATTAATTAAATAATTGGTGCTTTGTTAGGAATCTTCGCAATAAACCATGATGGGTAACAAAACGAGCCAGCGTCAGGTATAACTACATAGCTACCGCCCGGTGACGAGGCAATACATGTCAGGGCTTTCGAGAGTTTTCATTCGGAAATAAATTATGTACCCCATTATTTCTATTCAATGAAAGTCGTAAACTACAAATGGACAAAAGAAACTGCAATTTACGGGATAACAGTTAGAGCACTTCACGGATAGGCTTTTTAGGATCCGGCCCGGCCCATATCCGGCAAGTCATATCCAGATCCGCCCATTATCCGCCTTTCTTTGAATATCAGAATCCGGCCCACCCATGGCCCGTATTGCAGCCAAACTTCCAAAAAATATCCGTAATAATCCGTTTCACCAATAACTGGTTTCACCCAAAACTGGACTAACAAATTCAATCTAAGTGACCAGACAGCCATACAAGTCTTGTGACAAGTGAGTGTCATAAAATGATGCCTATTACTTTAATCAAACCTCTGCTGCCGCTTAACACATTAGGCTAATTTTTAACTTCAATGTTGAATGTTAAAATTTTGATCCGTTTTGATCCTGGTTCAACCTTCAGTTCCCAAATCCGGCCCGCCCATATCCGTTCTTTTTTAACAAATTTAGAATCCAATCCTATCCGGTCCGCGGATTTATCCGTGGATAACGGATTTATCCGGCCCATGAAGTGCTCTAATAACAGTATCAAACATGAGAAGAGAAGATTGAAGTTAGCACTCGGGATATTACAACTCAAGAGCTACGAAAAAATGTAACGAGAAGATATCGTATTATTTTGATTGAAACGTTCGTGTGGCTGAAACAGATACTTCGAAATGCGCTGGATACCATTCAAACATATTTTTCGACGATTCGTTATCTTCCTTACTTCTTGGCATCTTTCTTAGTTCATGGCATCCATAAAGTTAAACGTAAAAGTGCCGCACAACTGCCAAAGCTTGTTTTACCTTTGTATTTTTTCTTATGCAAGCAATGGGTGTTGCAGGCAATTATCACACGTTTTGACGCTTTCACAAGATAGTTAAAAGAAAAAACCATTGGAGATGTAAAACGAAGTGTTACTTAGCGAACTCGGGGAGTATTTCTTCACCAAGCCTTACCCGCAGACGGTGATTTTAGTGGAGTAGCAGCGCTGGACGGGCAGACTGATGATCTGAGAGTCGGACGAGGCCACTAGACGCGTCTCCGTGGTCCGGCTGATGTGCAGGCTGTGGCAGGGGGGGGGGGGGGAGGGGGAGGTCAGGTCAGTCGGAGGAGGCCACCAGATGCGTCTCTGTCGTCCGGCTGATGTGCAGGCTAAGGGAGAGAGGGGGTGTCAGTCTGAGGTCAACATACCGATGTGGGGGGGGGGGGGGGGGGGCTTTCAACATACCGATACAACATACCGAGTCAAGGGAAACACATCGATGTGACGACTGGGATAGGGGGCAGTGAACAATGGTTCTTCCAGCGTAAATATTTCAAGGATAAGTTATCTTGCCACGGAGGTGTAGGACAAATAATCTCCTTTACGACGTTTTTTACACTAGGCAAATAATGCTATTCGAACGCTGCTTTATTCAGCCGTCTTCATTCAGCCTGAGTTAAAATAACCTGTTCTTCGCAACGGTAGAACGCAGGTTCGCGGCCAAGCAAAGTTTCAGATTGTTTTGAAGAGCTAATTGAAGCGCGGCACGCAATGGACTTGGTTCAACTTAATCAACAACTGACCAAGGACAGTGCGTGAGCGCACAATTTCTGTCCAAACTTTCCGCAGTTATTTTTTACCCGGTAGGGAATTGACGTTTTAGAGGCAGGAAATGACACACGCGCGGCTAATTTTGCCAGAACACAGTTTGGAGAAATTACCATCACATTTATAATAGCAAGTAAAATAAAAAGAAAATATATAGCGACCAAATATTGTACCTCATCGCCATGTTTTGATTGGTGGCGAAGGGCACAAACGCCTTAGGCCAATGCCTCAGGCATTGATCAACTTCCAAAGGATGTATGAAAGGCCATAAATCAGACTACATAACCGCTTACCCTTTGACTGCATCATGCGTTGAGAATGCCTGGATCTCTTCAATAACCACCGGGGCCAGCGTCTTGTGGTGTGCATTGAACACCTTGATGATACGTCCGTTGTCTGCAGAAAAAGGGAGAAAAATCCGTCTTAGATTTTTATCGACTGTTGACAATTGTCAAACCATAGGTGGTGTGTAGATGTATGCTGCAAGAGTGTATGCAGAGCACATTTCTCTGGATGCAAACATATCTTGCTAAGACATAGTTACAAACATATGCACAAAATGACCAGGCGTATATCGATTCAATTCTTTAACGTGTTCAGGATAAATGCACATTGCACACAGAAATACTTGTGAGCATAACCCACCTGAAAAACACTGATATTGCTATTTTAAACTTATAATTGCAGTTCTGGCTCACCTGTTCCGACAAACAGCACGTCCACAAACTTGGGACTCTTGTCGGTTCCATCACCCACCAGACGTACCCGCGGGTCGACCGTGATGGCAGAGAAACGGTAGCTGAAATGAAACAGAGCGGACAGTCAGCTGTGTCAGGGGACAGCAGTGAACTCAGTCAGAGATTACAGCGGATGGTATTGAGAACCGAACAGTCATATACGGCTTCTTGGACGCAGGACGGTACAACCTATGCGGTTTTTTTCTGACGGTACATACCAGACCCAGGCAAGATACGGTGCACATGATGATGACTATCAACATAAGCTCATGATGAATTGCTCCATTATCAGAAAGGAAACTGAACTGGTGATGAAGAACTACAGATTTTTAAATTTCGTCGATACATCAACGGAGACGATTGCTAACTCATACAAAACACTTCCCAAAATGGCACAATGAACAGGACTAAGAAGTATCAGGACAAAGGTGATGGCACGAATCGACCTCCTTTCGTCCCCCTCCTCCGATCACTGACCCTGCTCCACTTCCGGTCCCCGACCGGAAGTGACCGGAAGTGACCGGAAGTGACCGGAAGTGGGGCCGTGGACGCAGCCAGACGGCGGTTCCGGCTGCATTTTCACAGACACTCACAGGCAGGCACCCGAGTGGGGACTGATGAATGAGGAAACGCACATATACTACTGTACAAACAATGTAGACTCCTAAATGTGACGAAACTCTACACAAATTATGAATGTTTGTTAGCTTGTTTATTGGGGATTTGTTTATTGGGGCGCCGAAAGCAATGGTCATTTTGTGTCCATAGCTTTATACCGGAAAGGAAGTATATAAAATAATAAATTATACGACAACTCGTGGATTAAAAATAGAACTCATAAATGGAGTCTCGGGCAGCAGATAGTCAAGATAAGCTCAGGCGCCTATAAACAAATGACCGTCATGAGCCATTCAAACTTGCCACCGTGTAGCAATCGCCACCCGTCTCCCTGGAGGTCTGACTCCACCTCCCTGGGAGGGAGGGGGGAGGTCTCAGCGGACGCGGTCAATAGGCAATCAGCACGGGGCCAGGCCGGGGGCTGAGGCGACGCAAAAACCCGCTCACGTTCACCACAATGCCAGAGGCGGGCCGAAACAAGCGCCAGATAGCGGCTATTGGACGAGAATACCACGAAAAAAGGCTAGACGGAGAGGGTGGAGGGAAGGGGAGGGGTGGGAGGGATGGAAATGGGAAGATGGAAAAGAGGAGGGCGAAGAAAAAAGAGTAAAGGGAGGCTGAAGGGAAGAAAACGGATAGAAGAATGAAGATTGAACGGGGAAGAGAGAGAGAGAGAGAGAGAGAGAGAGAGAGAGAGAGAGAGAGAGAGAGAGAGAGAGAGAGAGAGAGAGAGAGAGAGAGAGAGAGAGAGAGAGAGAGAGAGAGAGAGAGAGAGAGAGAGAGAGAGAGAGAGAGAGAGAGAGAGAGAGAGAGAGAGAGAGAGAGAGAGAGAGAGAGAGAGAGAGAGAGAGAGAGAGAGAGAGAGAGAGAGAGAGAGAGAGAGAGAGAGAGAGAGAGAGAGACAAAAGAAAGACTGGATAACTGAATAAACTGATGCCATGACGACGGTATCATTTCTAGTTTCGACACCGTTCCATTTTATCTTGGCCAAAATTTATCGCCACTAGCATACAGGAAATGTTGACATCTATCATAGAGAACCCCCAAAGAAACACGAGAAACCGGGCCATGGCATGCATCACGTCTATTGGTTAGGCAATGCCCATCGTCTTTAAACTCCATCCTGTACCCGTTTTGGTTTCGGACGTCGCTCCTTCCAACCATACCCCTCGCTACTGCTACCCCCCAAGCCCAGCTTCCCTGCGCCAAGCTTTGAAAAGCACATCCCTGACGGAGCTCCGGCTTGGAAAACGATTTTCTTACGTCACTGGCGCCTGCAGCGTACATGAAGCGGCCAGCAACTGGCCATTTCGGGCGTGATTAACAGGCCAGATTATGGCGCTGAGTTAGCGAGCTCATTCGCCGAGCGAAAATGGGGTTTCGCTCCCTAAATCAATGCCCACGCTGGCTGTATAGGCCGTTTGTCTCCATTGCAGAGAACTGGGCAAGCCGTCTTCATGGGGGCATTGCACGAAAACGTCCGCATATGATTATACATCTGTGTAAAGCCCGGCACACCATGCTCGATTGCCGTGACATTTCTTCGCTTCATAACGCTAGGGCTCTTTTTATTCACCGTTAAATGCATGTCAATAAGTGTCAAGAAATATATGGAAAACAGTTCCAATGGTGAATCATTACAGGGGAAATCAACATACTATAATACGAAAACATTGGATATGTTGGGTGCCGAAAACTGTCAAACCCACGTAAATGTCATTGTCTAAAAATTCAACCCTGTTTGTCGTTCGTACCTGAGGCTGGTCCTGGTGAGGATCGGTCCCCCGAACAGCGCCGCCACAGCCTCGTCCATCAGCGGGTGTCCTTTGATGAAGTTCAGCGTGGCATCCGGCAGCGTCTTGCTGCTGTTGGAGCACTGACCCGGGCGCAGCGGTGGCACCTAGCGGACGGAACGCCAACTAGTCAGACGGGTCGAACGGCTGAGGGCTCGGCCGGGGTGGGGTGCGAAGGCAGTGGCAATGAAGGCTGGAAATGGGACATGACGAATGGGTAGTACATCTTTAAAGGCGGTTAAATAATGTGCTTAAACGCCGACGAATAAGTAGCTCCAACACAGCTGACCTGAAGCGAAAATTGCGCATTTCTGGTGTGCAGAGAGAGAGAGAGAAAAAAATGCGGCACTAATTATTTCACAGATAAGAAAAACTATTCCAATTCATGACATAAAGCCCCATCAAATACACATACGCTTCCCTATTCCCATCATCCAACGCACATATCCAACGAGCTGCATGCTTAAAGTAAGATCTTTACGTTGCATCTAGTTTCGGGTCACGATGGCATCACATAATAAAGCGCTTCGCTAACAGCTCAACAACCCCCGTTAACTATCGAGAACAAAAAGCCTTGCGGGCTCCGCCACGCAAGACTAACCAAACGAATCGAACTAGCCTGAAGTTCATTGGCCTATGTAAAAACGACAGCAAACTTTGGCCTAAAAAGCCCTACGGACACGAGCCCTCTTAAAAGTCTCGCACTCCGGGCTCTCTAAAGCCACTAGGCGGGCTCTGGCGCGAGCTGCTCTAAAAGCGCCGGAGCCGTTTCGCGGAGGGCGGTCGCTCGGAAGGCTGACTCCGCGGGCACTCCCACTGCAGAGGTCTGGTGACCCGTAGACGACGCGCCATTCAGGCCGTTCCAGCGAGCACGGTCGGGGGTTTAATCACGCCATTCTTCATTTCCTAGCCATTGCGAGTTCCAGCTCATTGACCCAACGGAACATAGCGGAAAGGCGGCGACGCCCAGAGCAGAGAAAACGACGGGAATTTGACAGAAAACACGACATAACAATCCAACTCTATCATAAAAGTACCATTGAGAATACAATGTGATTACCTCGTTAAAGCACATTTTCCAAATAAAAGGATCACAATGCTTTAAATTGCCAAAAGAACTATAACTAACAACGGGACACGGCATTCCATCTAACATAAACGTATGATGACAAATGACAGTGATAGCATAATTTCGCTTTTGAAAATTCGTGACGGAAGTGAGAGAGTAAAACAAATGAAATGTAAGCAATGTGGCACAAACTTTGCGCTCGAAATTAGGAACCTCAACTCGCAATTACTCATTCCTATTCACGATATCCATTATCTAAGCGTAAAATTGGTGCAGTATTACGACGGGTAGTGGGAGCCTGTACACTATTCAGTTCGACTTCATTACAAATGCGTTTCGCCTTGCTCTATCGGCTATCCTCTCAAGGACTGTAACTTGTAAGCCAAATTACTCTGACTGGTACAGTATTAGGGACTAGTCTTTGAGCCATAAAGTAGGTACTAGATTGCAAGCACTCAAAATAACCTGACATGCCTTACATGTAAGCAACAAATATCTCTCCATATAAACGCAAGAGAAACTAGACTGCAGGAAATTGGACGCAGCTCAGAATTATGCCATCTTTTCAGCGTCTCCTTTTTCAGCCGTCTTTTTTCTCACATCTGTCGGTCGGCGCGCTGACTTGGGACATCTGACTGTCCCGGGCGGCAATCCTCATCGATCCGACTCCCCGCGGACGGAAACGAAGGGACGGAGAGAGAAAGGGAGACCGACGGACAGAGGGAGAGAGGAGAGAGGAGAGAGCGCCAGACGGCGTGCGATCGCCAAAAACACCGCCGATCCCCGGATCAGGGGCTCCGATCCCGGCGACAAATTGCTGCCATTTGACGCGCAGCGCCAAAATCGGCGCGCCGCTCCGCGATAGGCGAAAGCGGCGCGTCGTCCCCCTCTGAGTCGATCTTGATCAGCTGCGGCTGCGGGATACCGGCCCTAACGATTCGGCGATATATGGCGGCAAGGGGTGGAACCAGGAGCAGCGGCTCAGCACAGGGGTTCGTTCTGAGGGGACGGGATGCAAAAGAGAAGAGGGGAAGGGTATGCAGACGCGGTGAGTCAAGTGGAAAGACACAACTGGTGTGGAGACGGCGGCACGTGCTAATCTAACTGACTTCACGCATCCATTGCGGGGACGCCAGCGGATAGGATTCCGCTAGGAAAGTGCAGCATGGGAGTGCATGGAAAGTGCATGGAGACTGAAAGACCTCCCTATGCTAGTTGGGACAAAAGTCAACGGATTAAGAAATATGTCACACCCAAGCCCAAGTCTACACCTATAGACAGTATCATGTATTGGCCCAACGCCACCAACAGCTCACCACAGATGCCTCGCCTACCTTGTTCTGCGGCACTGGCAGCCAGTTGGAGTTGAGGTCGGCTCGCTCTTTGAACTGCCCAGAGAACGCATCCAGCACTCTCTGTAGCCGGAACGCGCAGACGGCAGAGCCGCCGATGGCGTTCGGCGGAGTGCTAAACACGCCGTAGATGAGGCGGTTGTCCTTGACGCCGCCGTAGCTGCCCTCCACGACGTCCGACGTGGCCTCTGAAATGGAAGACGCAGAGGTAATGTCAATGTCGTAGGTCGTCGACTGGAGAGCCATGACACCACAGTTCAACAGACAAGCCTGCAAATGCGTGCGACATGGGAGTTTCCGTAGCGAACTTACCCGGACAACGTCGAGAAATAAGACGTGCTTTAAGTTTGATCATACATAAACCTTATACCTAACCATTTCAGAAGGCGATGTTGTTATAACACACTTGGTGCCGATATACCCTAACTCGAGTCAGAAGCTTATCCCACCGTAGCGTAAGATCCCTGCCACCCATTGGAATACAAAACGCGTCTCTGAAGCCATTTTAAAGCTTACTGAGAAAACAGACACCACGACCGACAGTGGTGCTGCTAATGCACGCTCACATGTCGCTGGAGAAAGACAAACTCACAGATAGTGCATACAAATGTGGTGTTTAGTCTACCAGATAATATAAAACTACAGAGAATGGTGCCTTGAAGGCTTGACTGCCAGAGAAAGACGATTATGAATGCCAGAGACAATTCGAGTTAGGCATAAGACGCTTGGCTTGTTAACGTGCAACCATATGTAACATATGCGTTTCTCCGGGTTTGGTGCCCTTCACCTGCGACCCATCTCCGGAGCAATTTCAGTGGTCCCCAGTTCAGGCCAATCCAGTCCTCTTACTGGTTTGATGACCTCTGCGTGTAACCCGCCCTGGGTCAATCCCAGTGGTCTCCAATTCAGCGCAGTCCAGTGACTGCAGGTTTGATGACCTCTGCGTATAACTCCCCAAAAGTCGATCCCAGTGGTCCCCAATTCAGCGCAGCTTTGATATTTGCGGCCCTCTGTGTATACCCCGTCCTGGGTCGATCACAGTGGCCTCCAATTCAGCGTGGTTCAGTGACTGCAGGTTTGAGGACTTCTGCGTATACCCTGCCCCGGGTCGATCTCAGTGGTCCCCAATCCAGCACAGCCCATTGCTCCGAATGCCACGCTGGCCGGACAGTGGGCTCTCAGTAAACATGGGCCGCGAACAGAGCAAATATGCCCAGCGGTCGGTGGTCGATAAGACCGGCCGAGTCACCGACCGAGTCATGAGTACAGACAGACTCCGGTAGGAGTCATAAACCGGTCGGGGAAAGAGAAGCATTGGACAGAGTCAAACAGAACTCCGGCGTCATTCAAACACTGCTCCGATTGGGGTCGTGCAGTCCGACCGACTTTAAAAGTTCTTAGATCTTCAGCTTACCCCAGAAAACCTCAAACACGCGCCTCTTTGAACCTCCAATTATCCTAATCTTACTAAATGATCTTCCATTCTCGTATACTCACGGATTTCGTCAAAGTAGAAGGGAAAGTCGCCACTGACAGAGCAGTTGAGCCTCGTCTTCACGAACGATGTCCACGTGAGCTTGAACCGGCGTGGGCCACCCATGTCGTTCTTACACACGCGGGCTACACGTGAGTATACTCTCTGAAACCGAAGGTGATGCGTCAGTATGGGCACTAAACAGCTCAACGACACAGCACAAAGACTCACATCACAAAATGCGCGGCAGCACCACACCTTTACCTCTCAGTTGGCTGAGCGGTTAGTGCTCAAGCAGTTAGTGTCACCCAAATTACAATACGATGGGATGCGATGCAACGGAGTGGAAGATACCTACCGGAGAGGGACTCCAACCACCCCCCTCCCCCAACAGCCGCCGGTTCAGTCGCACAGTTAGCACAGGGACCGTGTAATGTGTACCGCTACACAGGCCCGCCGCTAATACCCGATTTCGGGCCGGGCTAATTTCATTAGCGAATGGGCGCCAGTCAGCAAGATCCAGTAATTGGACACAGGCCCGCCACGCACTGCCTGCGGCGCCACGGAAGGGCGCACAGGCGCACGCGGGGAGGAGCGCAGGCCACAGCCGCCAGAGCCCCGACTGCGGGGCATATCCTGCAGGGGTTCAGTGACTGAGTATATCCGGCAGACTGCCTGCTGATGATTTGCGGACAGTAGATGATTTGACCGGCAGACTATCTTGCAGTACTTCAGTCTTCGGAGCCTTAGGATAAATGGAGTAACTATGTATTCAGAGACCCAACATTCAGGGATTCCTCAGAAACATGCTACAAAGATCCAATATCGGGACCCAATCTTCAAGGACTTATTCTACTGGGACTAAATATATTTGGACTGTGGGTGGTCGTAGAAAACGACCCATATCATTATACCAACAATATCTCGGACAGGCTTCCCGGGTGAACAAGAACACGCGATCGTTCGTATATCGTGAATGTAATAAATGTCGGAAAACGTGGTGACAATGTCACACAGTGCAAACCGTGCCTGAAATGTGGACCCATTACTAACGGCTCGTTTAATTTTGGGTCCGACCATGAGCATCGACCAGCTCCAACTCAACTCAATTCCACCCAAAAATCGGGCATGACTTCATGCAGGGATTCTGGATACATCAGAATCCGAGAATACTTTGATCAGTGACTGAAACTACTTCCACGTACTTATCAGCTCTAAAATGTTAATAAAAATAATCATATTGTAATGAATGGACCATCTTCAGAAGAGTGCTTTCGGTGAAAAAAAAAATAGCAAACGTCACAGGGATATGACACAGGTAGACACAACAAAATAAACTATCGCTAGAGATAAAACAAACTGACAACTGACAACTACGAGTAAAATGGGCATTTTCCTAGCATTTCTTCCTCATGTGACCAAACAAGCCCCAGGCATAGTTGACGTTTTGTACACGTCATTCGACTCCGAAGCAGACCAACAAGAGGCAATCAAGAACTCACTGCCAGCGCCACGCAAAACAAACATAAAGCGCAGATGACGGACCCCAGGGAACATATCGGAGGACCCCCTCCCCCCTCCCTCTTCAGACCCTCCCCGTGTCAGAGGCAGCTGGCGCGTCGTCATATGAGCACGTCAATGCCGAGCACGCGCCGTCCCAGTCAGCTTAATGTCAGTACGACAAATGACGTCACTGGGTATTTTATCGCGTGAAATAAAACACCCAGCGCTGCTATGAACGCGACACGCATTGCAAATGGCCACTGGCACCTCGTTGGTAGGGGTAGACGGTGCTGGAAATATTGGAACGAATATTCCAGCAGACGAGCCTATTACTGGGAATACGTGGTGTTTCAACTTTCGTTTGAGGGAAGGATGTTAATACGGACGCTAACAAGTGCTCCGTCAGGGCGGAGCCGGCAGGGTGATTCATTTGCATCGTTTCTCCCCCGTAGTCGTTAGTGAGCGATTGAGACAGTGTGTGCTGAGCGGAAAACGTGTCAGTTTAGCACTTTATCTTGCCACAATTCGAGCTAGTTTATGCACATCGCATCTAACAGACAAATCGTACGGCTCAAGTTTGACAAAGTTGCAGGAATGGCAGATTCCCTTCCATAATTGCATGGTTCGATTTACTTCTTTAGTTGCGCGGTGGCCAGTTCTTCACACACTTGAACACTGGGTACAATATGGCCCACCACACATCCACATTATGGCACAACCCCATCCACAATTGTACGGTTTGGCCCCATCGTACGATATGACCTCACCTCCCATAATTGTACGGTTTGACACCATTGTACGATATGACCTCACCTCCCATAATTGTACGGTTTGACGGTCTCACCTTTCCACAGTTGATGTACTCCACGGCAGTCTCGCGGAAAAAGAAGTAGACGTGTTCGCCGAGCGCAAACGAGCTCACAAAGTCAGGATCTGAAACAGAAGCGAAACCAGTTCGCGTGAGAATTGTGTTTTAAAAGGTTGAAATCGACTAAGGGTGCTGTGCCTCGGTGTATTCGTATGGTGTAGCGCTGGAAGAATGGTTGCTGTCATTGGCAGACAAGTGGGCGTGCAGATGGTATTTTAACCGGACGGTACCTGAAGTACGTTACAGTGTTTGAAAGTGCAATTGAAGATGGATGAGTGGAGTTCAGAGTATTTAGTTGGTTCAGCGAGGAAGCTATTGCTGTTCATTTGGATGCTTCGTCGATGTTTAAGTCGGTAAATGGCTAAATACTTTGGTCGAAGGATGGAAATGCTCAGTTGGATCGCTGAGCAATATACGATGCTGGAGCAAAACAGCAACCATAGAGCAACATTTGATTGCAGACACAACGCTCCCCTTTTCCACCAGCGTGCTTTTATACCTATGGTGGAGTTGAAACATAATAGTTAGCCATCAGCTGTCTGGCTTCGCCCTAACCGTTTAGGCCCCAGCTTAACCCGGCACCGCCTGGGCTATTTCCGTACCCACGACAGCCTGGGGGGGGGGGGGTCGGATCCGACCCCCCTGTTATCTCGAGAACCAATGGTCGTATCGAGCCCCGCGAGGCGGCGTTCGAAAGGTCTCTACGAGACCTTCCCAAAGCACTCTTAAGATTTTAAGATTGAGGTCAACTTTCGGGTCAAGGTCAGGTCAAAGGTCAAATTCAGGGGTTTTGCATGATTAGGCTTACGGACATCGGAATCGATAGCTGCTGCTCGAAACTCACCAAAAATGACCTCAAAGGCCTAGTGAAGGTACCATGTGTGTATAGGGGTCATACTAAGTACGGGTCAAGGTCAGGTCAGGTCACGAAAGGTCACGGTTTTCAATTTCTGCTACATGGGCGTGCGACACATGTTTTATGGCTTATTTTTCACGCCGAATCCGATGGTAATGGTTATATGTGACCCCAATTCACTGTGCTGGTGAAAAGTGTGCATTGAAAGCATAAAAAATCGTTTATACTATACGAGGGCTGAGAAAAAAGGTCAATTTTTCAACTTTTTATTTTTGACATCAAAATGCACTTTTCTAGACGAGCTTTGTCCCAGGAATCTAGTGGTGCCATTTGTTTTCACATGCGATGTTCAGAAGTACCTCTAATTCACGAAAATGCTTATGACGTCACCATGCCCTATACATGTTGGAGTTATTTTTTACAATTTGGGGGTCAAAAATCAAGATAGAAAGTTGAAATTTGGGGCATCAAATGTTCTAATAGAGCTCTACAACATATACTCCGGTTTTTTGGAAATTCCCAAAATTTTGGATTTTATTAGCTGTTTTCCAAAAAATAAAGTTTTTTGAATTTTTAGGGGTGCAAAACGCATTTTAAGGAAAATCCGAGATAGCCATTTTAAAGAACTCGTTGAGCTGCGTCTTTTGATGTCCTTAATTTGCATTTTGCTTTAAACCCTGATTTTTGGCGATTTTTTAAACATTTACCACTTTTTGACTAAAAACGCCATGTAGTTACATCACTAAAATCGATATATCTCAATTTTTTTGGAAATTTTTTCTTAAAAATTGCACAGGAGACATCAAATTGATGGGGGAGAAGGTATGCCAAGTTTCAAGTAGATAGCGAAAGTGGTTCATGAGTTATTCAAGAAAAACGGAGGGGGGTCGGATCCGACCCCCCCCCCCCCCAGGCGGTCGCGGGTTAAGTTATTCCTCAACTTATTCCGCACAACTGGTTTTTCTGCTGGCTACGGAAGTGATGACACGAATTTAGCGCCCAAATGGAGTGGAAATGGGACTGAAATTGGCAGAAATAGCGCCCATCTGTCAGGAAAGACACACTGTTTGATAGGACAATTCGTGAGACGCCAATGCAGTTTAGAGATGACGGAATGTTTCAGGGCAGATAAAACCTGCTTGAGGAGAACAACAGCTGAAATGGCTGTTATAAGATATACAAAGAGACACTCAAGATGGATGCGGCAACAAGAAACGGACAACGGTACAATGGCACATTGAGAGACAAACAGCAATTATAAACGAGAGAAAGACAATCGAATGTCCATCTAACAAACAAAATAATTCTATGGAAAGCGAACATATGCTCTTGTTTCGAACATCAAACAGCCATTGAGGCACCTCCACATCCGCCTATTTGACATTTCTATCAAATATCTTTATGCGAAAAAAACGGATCATCAGACAAATGTTAGTGGAACGACTAATAAAATGATGCTCTACCAACAAATAGTTTTGCGAGACATCGCCAAAAACTGTACCTACACCGAAATAGGACCGCGGAGAAGCTGCTGCGAGTGGCGGCAGCCGTCTAGCAAGTAACAGCTGGTGCCGCCCATCGCCAGTGTCCCGCGCTAACTGCCGGCTCGCGCCAAAATTGTCGCCATGATCGGCGCATCTGACCATTGGCAGCACGCCTAACGGTCGGAATTTTCGCAATAAAACGCCAGCCAGCGGCCGGCGACAGAACAGATTCGACATGAGGCGCTAAAACGACGGCGAGTCACAATGGAAAGCGAGGCTGCCCGGGAAAAGCTCCGTGGAGTGGACCTCCGGTAGAGCTACGTGCAGAATACGGATATAGTCGCTTATGCGAATAACACCCCTAGTTTCTTTTGGGGGGGAAGAGAAGGAGGGTAAATTTAGATGAGGTCGACTGCCGCTCACGTAAAAGACGGCTGATGCTTTCTGCAGCCGAAAATTTCAAATTATTTATGGCGTTATGTACGAGTTGGATATCGAAGAGAGAGAGAGAGCGAGAGAGAGAGAGAGAGAGAGAGAGAGAGAGAGAGAGAGAGAGAGAGAGAGAGAGAGAGAGAGAGAGAGAGAGAGAGAGAGAGAGAGAGAGAGAGAGAGAGAGAGATCAAATAGAAAAGTGATAAAGAGAGCGAAAAAGAGGAAGAGGGGAAAAGGAAAAGCAGAAAGAGGAAAAGCGGAAAGAGGAAGAGCAGAAATGCCAGCGCCTGCCAAACCGGGATCCCTCCCACTTCCCCTCGACCGTTCGATTCTGGGGCCGGCGCGCCGCGCCGAAATGACCTCAGCTGGCAGACAGGAGCCGGCCGAACGGCCCCGCCGCCAGCTACAAAAAGAAATATGCTGTGTCGACCTGGTTTGTTGCCAATCTTGCTGGTCCTATTCCGTACATAACTGAGTTTCGCTTTGAAATTCCGGTCGGGATCCTGGCTGCCTTTCTGCGCGAGACGCGAGGGCGTGCCTTTCAGTGACGTTGACGGCAGGCCAGTCCTCTCTTTTAAAATGAGTTATCCAAATGCATTTGAAACGCAGCACCAGCTAACAGAGAGTGAATATAAGCCTAATTGCGTTTCTTTATTAATATATTGCAGGTAGTCTTCTGGGGAACTACCATATTAAGTACACAATTGATTCATGCTTCAACAAATGAAAGCCATTTACCGTTCAAAAGGTCTTGAGCTAACTGTGCCGCTCAATACTTGGCATTAGGTTTAAACATTATTATTCTACTTCAGTCGCAACATGCTCATCCTCTGGTGACTGGAATGTCCATGAAATCCACTAGCCGATCGAACGTCCATCTGATTTTCCGACATTTCTGTCAAATAAGGAAAAGGCGAGGCATGTGTGATGCCCAAAAGCAGACTGCTTCAATATGGCTTCGTGGGGGACGAAGTGTCAGACTCAGCACCATATGTTACACGACAAAAGCGACAAAATAAAATTGAGCTTGGAGCAATATTAGACGGGGCTGCAAATCGGCCAGACACGGAGGGCGTGAAATAAACATGTGCTGAGAGCTTGCGGATGATTGTAAAAAAACTAAAAACTAAACTTGCGGACGACTGACGAGAAGCATTGAACTGAGAGAAAAATTAACATCACATCAAGCTAGAGTTTAAATACATAGACAGCAGGATATTGAACCAGTAATAGCAACCAAGTATCGATTTCTTGGGCCTAATATTCACAAAACCACGACTCTGACTGAGCCCTGCATCCCATCCACAGTCGTTGGAACTTCATCAATCCGCAATCCCTCCCCTCCCTTCCTCCCCGCTTCCAGCATCGCGCGCGTACGGCTCCCAGAGCGAAGAGCCGCGGTATAACGACGTCGTTATGTGTGAGCTGTCACCACCAGCAGATGAGCCGTCAAATGACAGCAGATGACACGTCGGATGACAGCAGATGACACGTCGGATGAAGGCCGCAGACGCCATCAACTGAGGCTGAATAACGCGCCAAATGACAGCCAGCAAATTGCAAAGCAGAGGAGATGGTTATGGTGAATGTAAAGCAGAATTTTACCACAGTGGAAAACGAAATATAATTTGCGGGTATGAAAAACTTGCTGTAAATTATAGCTGATTTTAAATGAGGAGAATGAAAGTAAAAGAAACTTTAATGATACTTTGAAGGCTTAATAAATGTGTCATTAAGGAATAACTCAATATTTCATTTATATTTTACCAAGAAGTAAGAACTATAAGTCCTGCTCCATCCTATCTCATTGATATCTTGTCCCAGTTCCGCTTCACCCCATCCCAACCCAACCCTTTCCGTCTCGTGGCAAGTTCACCCTGTCCTGTCCTGTCCATTCCATGCCGCCCCGTCCCCATCCGTCCTAACTCCTAACCCCGTTTTGATTGTCATTCCATCCTATCCAGTCCTACCCTATCCCATCCTACTCCATCCTGTTCCATCTCATCCCATCCTACCCCATCCTATCCCCTGTCCCATCTCACCGTCCAGTGAAAGGGTGTCCCATTTGTCTGTCCTCAGCCGGTCCCGTAGGATGAGCGGGTCCTGGCCGGAGAAGTCCGCCGCAGTTCCCGAGTAGAGGTGACCATCTGAAAAAGATCAGCGCGGGTCAGATTTGGAAGCAGGCAGTGTCAGTGAAATGAGAGGAGAGCAGAGAGAGGGTCTTTTAGCGGAGTGAGAGAGAGAGAGAGATAGAGAGAGAGAGAGAGAGAGAGAGAGAGAGAGAGAGTCAGGGAGAGGGAATGTAAGAATAGCGGTTAAATATGACTGCTATGTAATTATGTCGTGTTAAATAATCTAACATTTAATTGCATCAGCAGTGCTATTTTTATTTCATTTCACTTTCAGGGCCCGATTTCACCAAGTGAATATATTCCATTACGGCGGCGTACATATTCACTTTTGGCATATTATGACATATTCAGTTTCACCAAACTCCGTACAGGGATACTTATTCAAGACAAAGACAAAGTATGACTGCATAAGTCCGTCGTTTTTTGGCATACTATTACATTTGAGGTACCTCTGGTACGCCGATCTGCTTTTTCAACAGCTGTTTGCCGAGTTTGCTGGCATTGAAAGTATGCTACTTTTTGTGGCATACTTTGAGAAACAGCTTGGCATACATCAATTTTTTTTAATGATAATGTTACAAATTTAATGACTTCGTCGATGCAACGTATGATAAAAACATGCCACAGGCTACGCAAAAAGTTTTTGATGTCATAATGGTTATTTCTTGCTGGATATATAGGGTATCGTGTGTCAGGGCTTATATTGAAATTAAACCCCAGAACAGCTATTTTTATAAGGCTTATCTCATCGTGGCATCACTGCGATTAAAATCACCCCATCATGCAGAAACACAATAGGGAATTCCTTTTTTCATTCGCATTCCATTTCCCGATTACATTGAGTTTTCCACTTAAAAAACGACAGTTCACATTGTATTTTGATAACACAAAAGGCCAAAAGCGTTTCAAATCTTTCTCACCGTGATTATTACACCGTGCTCTTTATACAGCGTTTTACCGAAGAGGAAGTAAATAACTGGCCAGGGCGAGAGGAAGGACTGAAGTCCAGTCCAGCAACGCCTTGATTGACATGCCCAGCATGTTGCATCACAAGTCACAACGGATTCGTTTACATTCGTTTTCATCGCCCACTTTTGCTATTTCTTTGCAGTACCCATATGCTGTCCAATGTCCATATTTGTTTTTGTGTTGTGGCCAAATGATTCAATTTATCACCGGCTTCCCGCTTCCGTTCAGGTTCAGTCTGCCGAATGATTCCGAAATATTCTCCATATTTGAAGTCGTCGGTAGACCCTTCGATTATTTAAAAAGTTGATTCAAGTAATATTTCAGATAACTTGTCGGCTAGTCGGCCGTGCTCCTTGCTATCGTCAGTGATCGGTAGTTAGATATAAGATAGGTGCCTCAAGTAATTCCATTTCTTGTTCGACTTTATTTATATTTGCTTTGAACCACTCCAGAATTGCGTAGAAGATGTGAACAAATATTGAAGCAATATCTAATGAGAAGTAACTTGGAAGAAAAAATTAATATCAATGCAAAATCCAATAAAACCCACTCACAAGTAACGTCAACTGTGCTGCGCGGCTTGCTGCCGATTGTTTACATTTTTTGCTTTGGAATGTCATGCTCCCAGCAAAAATCAAGAGCATTATTAGCAATATTTGTTTAGGTACTTCCTCTTGTATGATCAGCAAATTTAATTCTTATTAGTGTAGCTAGAAATTTTTTTCCATAATATTGTATATCTGAGCATTTAAGCTCGTCGACTTTAAATACGGAAAAATATAGTGACTGCATGTCCCCGACAAGAAAAGATATATGCATGCGCGCCGGTGGCTCTCAAAGTACGTAAAGCGGGCGTATTGAATATATTCCTGTGGCGAAACCGAATAGTATTATCGTCGTACTTTGTCGGTGTACTTTTCCAAAGTACACCAAGAATATATTCACTTGGTGAAATCGGGCCCAGGTGGGGCCAATTAACTCCGGGTTAAATATTCTATCAAATGGTGTAAAATGACTGCAGGCTACGAAAGCATAAACTATTCAAAAACTGTACATTCCTAGCCATTAAGTTTACAGCTATCAGCAAGCCAAATATCCCAGAATATAAAAAAGACCAAGAGCTGAATGATACAGGACATCACCACCAAACGATCCTCAGAACAGCGGCACCATCGAAACCCGTAGACAGCTCAACCGTCCTCTCAGCCGCACCTCCCGACCCTGATCGGTCTGCCACACCCATCATCCAATTAGCGTCTGAGACCGTCACATCGACACGAGCCGGACTGGTTGAACCCAGCGGGCATGTCGTCACGTGACCCCACCGACCGCTACAGAACTCAGATGCAGTGGGAACGCTGGCAAACCGGACGTATTGGTGCTATGTGGTGGATAGCCGCGCAGCAGAAGACGGTGGGATGGAGTACCGGGTGGTAGGGGTGTTGGACAATGGAAACATGCGGTGACAGCAAAAGTCTTAATTGCATCGCACTGGCGCTCCCCAATTTCATCAACGCTTATTTCATTTCTTGTCGGTTAAAGTAAATGGTATGCTAAAGGCATGGCGGCACTAGTTATCGTTTAGATAACATCTAAGTTTAAATGGAATTTGGGCAGTAGCTACCCGACAGTTGCATGAATTTATTACCGCCTTTCTGGGTGCTTCATTTCAGTAAAAGGGATCTTACGAACGTGAAAAGGCATGTAAAATAAGAAACATTAATGTTTATTTCTGCGTTGGTAAGCGCGTTTCATTTACATATCATTAGCTTTGCCTAAACGCAACGTCTCTGCCGCGCAGAGAAGACTGCATTGGCATTCGTCAGACGCCTGCCGCGCCGATGATACTGCACCGGCATACACCAAACGCCTACCGCGTACAGGATACTGTGCCGCCATACACCAAACGCCTGCCGCGCGGCTGATACTGCGCCGCCGCACACCAAGCGCCTGTCGCGTAGAGGATACTGCGCCGGCACACACCAAAGGCCTGTCGCGCAAAGGATACTGCGCCGGGATGCGCCAAGCGCCTGTCGCGCGGCTGATACTGCGCCGCCATACACCAAGCGCCTGCCGCGAGTAGAATACTGCGCCGGGATGCACCAAGCGCTCCGCGCATACATAGAGATCACCGTTTCGGTTCGCCGCTCGGGGCCATTTCTGGGAGCTCGCCTGTCCGCCGGCTGCCACAATGAGTGTCGTCCAAGGCAGATCAATGCTATTGTCCAGCGGTCAGAGGGAGCACCGGGCGCTCGCCAATCTCGGGAAATCCAATGTCTCGGACAATGCTGCGAGAAAGGAAGACGGCCGGATGGCACGAGGCCTACGGCTCACATCTGTTAGGTCGGTATGGATTCATTTGTGCCAGCCGGTGAGTGATGAAACTCGGGCGGAAATCGGTTATTTCATTTCTCTGAATCGGTGCGCATCATGTTGGTTGCTAAGGTATCGTTAAATATTTCACTAAGCCCCCGAAATAGGACGCCACGGCGCTGACAAGTCGAACTAACAGCCTTCAAGTAATAGCAAATGTAGAAAAGCTAAAAGCTAACATATCGCACAGCTGAAGCAATGTAAAATATTCGACCATGATAACTTCGAATAAATGGGATTCATCCGATGCCAGCTTTCTACAGCCGACGGCGCTCTCATTAAAAAGGCTGCGCCGAGCCCAGAATTCGGTCGGCAGCGCTCGTCGTCACGAGATACTGATGATAAAGCATGACCATTGCCCATGCATGCCTTAGCAGTCAGTTTCCATATTTCAGCCGCTCTCTCTCGAATTCTGACAGCGTCGCAGCGTCCCAGCGCAGCGCGGCGTTCAGCCCGGAGCAGCTATTCCCACACGTGGCCCCCTGCGGTGTCTCGGCGGACCCGGCGCCCGAGGGATCAATGCCTAGGGAGAAGGGCGCCCGGCGGGGGGAGGGGGGCCTCCGCCGCCGGCGCTCCGAACCCGGCGCAGCGCCCGCAGTTCGGCGGGCCGGCCGGACCCATCGGTCAACGGTGGTCAATGGAGGGAGCTCAGCGGTCATAGAGGCGACGACAGCAGATGATAGATAATGTGGAAATACGTTATGTTGCAGCACTTCCCGTATGTAAGGCATAATTATAGCGCTATGTATAGCATACGGCCATCCATATTGATAACGGTAAGGGCAATGATCATGACGGACCAAGAGCCAAATTGAAAATATGATGATTAGAGAAAACTGTTCAACCATTGCCTCAAAAGTAACGGAGACGTTTGGAGACACATGTGATACAATCAGTTAAAAGTAACCAGGCCTAAAAAGGCATGCGCAACAGACAGCAAAAAGACTACAAACGAAACTTTGCAAGTCAACGTCTCTGCATGTGACACGTTGTCAAAAATGACAACGTGTCACATGAACTCCCATTGCACGACAATCTTCATCAGCTTTTCAGTTGTCTCCAATGCAGAGCTCACACGATCTTGTGCCGATAGTTTCCTAGACCTATGTGCCGTCGATGTCCGGATGCCTCTTCCCTCCCACCGTGTCCCAAAGCGGCGTTGCCCCACGATGATGCCCCGGGCGATTGCCCTCGGCGGCGTTAGTGGCAAGCCGAACGATCAATGTCTGACCAAACAAAGACGCGCCGTCCGACGCGGGTCTGACCCGTGTGAGCACCTCCGCTGCCGCCACCGCCGCTACCGCCGCCCCTAGGAGTTCTACTCTCTGCAGCGCCCCTAGCATTAATATGTATGGCCAGCTTGGAAGGACTTATGCAAAGCAGCCGTGGCGTCGTCGAAATTAAAAACGCCATCGTGATGAGGCTGGTGGATTCTCGCCCCAGGTAGTGCCGCGTTGGGGGCGATGCTGTACGCAGAGGGGATGATTTTATGACAAAGACGTTAAGGAAGTTGTTGGTAAAGCCTGCAGTAAGTAGGCAGTTTGTTGCGTGTTAGCACCTACGACAACATTTACGTCTTGAAGGGTAGGATAGTTAGCTGGAATTCAGTGCGACGAAAGTTAGTTGGAATAGCAATGAAGAGCGTCCATTCCTTGAAACACTCTCCAAATGAAGCAGCTGAATGTTGGGCCCTGTCAGCACTGCGAATGATGCAACACTCAGTTCCGCTGTCGAAATGGAGTCTACGGGCTCGCTTCAATGCGCTGCCAAATTTCAGCTTCCCAGCCTCACTTCAGGGTGTTGCATAAATCCGACTGGCTAGGCTTGCATGCAAGAAATGTTTCAGAACACTGGAATGCCCGTGTAAGGCCAGAATTTGGACGGCCTAGGTGTCATTTGAATGCTTCCGACCTGAACACATGTATTGTATTGTACTTGAATGTATTGTATGGGTCCGGCCAGTGTCTGGGAGCCCAGAGCATCTCAGGGAGTCCCTACGTTGTGTACGACGACATCCGCACGCTCTGTGCTTAGCCTGGGGGTGCTACATCACTGGGACCACTAGCGACCCAGCGGGCGGTCCGGAAGAGCCTCCCGTCCACACGATGCACCACGCGGGCCACACTTCCGGCCTTCCGCACCCCCCCCCGCAGTGGGCCGAGTGAGGAGGGGGGGGGGGGGGTGGCACACTGCGCCGACAACAGTCCAAATATACGACCAGCCGGCCCGCCCAGTGGCAATAAGTCTCCAAAACGGCCACCGCCCGGACGCTTCTGTTGTGGATTTTCTACCGCCGTCCGCGCCGCCCGCGCCGCCGCCCTCGTCGTCGTCGTATTGGACGCGGCGAGCCTCGTTGTCGAGGGAGACTATTGAAGAGGCGATAAGCAGTAATATTTCAGAGGGCGCGCTTCACTGGAGCACGCGATCAGTGCCGTCGGCCTCCGCCAGCTGGAAACGCTGATAGACGGCGGGCTAATGAAGGCGTCTCGGCGCAGGCGTCGGCGCCGGCGTGCCGACGAACTGAAGCGACGCGACGCAGCCGCCCACCGGCGCCCCGGTGCCACACGTGGCGCTCTCGCTTCGAAAACTCGCGAGGCGTGGCGATGAATACTCCAAGTGCGGCGCTTTTGTGAACGTGATAAGGGTGGCAAAATCTCTGCCTGGGGAATGTTAATAAAGCGGGGAGAGAGGGTCCCGCCGGCGACAGCCGGCTGTCCCCGCTTCTGATTCCTCCCTCCGCACCCCTCCCCGGCGGCTCCCCTTCCCCCGCCGCGGGAATGTCGTGACTCATCGACTTTTTAAACGTCCGAGTCCGCTTCCAAATTAGCGTTACGATCCAGTAAATTTCGCTAGTGTAATACAAACACTGGGTGTTGGCTGGCGCGACGGCGAGCTAGGCTATAAAACATGGGCGCTGCGCCCAACCACCATAGCTGGCGTGAAGATTGGGTCCGATCCCTCCCTTCCCCGCGATGGAAAGACCCGCACACAGCGAGGCAGTCACGCAACGCAGAGGGGAAAGCAGAAGACACTGGAGTGTGCCTTTACGCTACCCAGCCAGCCAAACAGAAAGACATCACAAGGAGGGAGATTAATTTGTTAGCTTGAAAGCACGCTTGGCTTAGTTCTACCCCCTTCAAAATTGGATTATGACAGAAAATATGACAAAGGCATAGAACTGCGCTACCAAGATCGCAGCTCAGGGAAGAAGAGGTAATGGTAACAGAGTATGTGAGGAATCGGCGATATAAAGACGGACATAAGCTCGAGAAAACTCTAGCAAGGGACGTTAATTCGATTCAAGCATGTCAGAACATACTTGCTACGGACAACAATTTTAATTGATGAGAAACTTGCTGAGCCGTACAAATTTTGCCGTTAATTTTGTTTATATTCAATAAAAAAAAACATTACGAACTAGCTCGAATAATCAGAACGTGAAATTTTCGTGCCATTTTGATTATTTGCCAAACGTTATCGTGTCACAGGCTAATGCTAAATAAAATGGTTGCCTTGCACTCTGTTCCACGCTATTTACTTTTGAATGGTTAAAAAAATGAGTTTGTTTTCACCTACCCGCATACGTGCTGGTGCTGTTGTGGGTTGGCGAGTATGGACATTTGCCGATCCCTCGCTCCTCACGAGCTGCCTCCAGTTCGTACCCCGCCTCCTGTCAACAAAAGAACGACATAGGTCAGATGAGGTCAACACAGGTCAACACGAGGTCATCATATCGCGCTCCTCTCGAGCAGTCTCCAGGTCATACCTGGCCTCCGTCAGTAGAGAACGACATAGGTCAGCAGAGATGAACAGAGGTCAGCGCAGGTCAGAAAAAAATCACCATTCTGCGCTCTTTCAGTTCTTTTTCAGTTTTAGCCGGTCTAATTTTCATGGAAGACAGCAAAGGCAACTAGAGGAAAACATTAGCCGACAGAGGTCAGCAGAGGTCACTAAAGGTTAGCAAAGGTCATCAGGACCAACAACAGTCAGAATGATCCAGAGAAGTTAGTGCTGACTGCTGGGTGCAGCATAGGTCAGAAATGGCTAACCGAGGACAACGGGAGTCAAATGTGGTAGGCCAAAATCACATTAGTCAGCGCGTGTTAGCTACGGGCGGTAGACGTATGGAGCTAAAGGAAACCACCATCATAAATTATCTCATTGATAAACAAAGATAGGTGGTGATGGAGCAACTATACTTCTTTACCATCAGTAATGCGACTATGATGCCAAGTCAGTGGAACCCGTCAGACAGCTGGACTTTCTGATCTACCCTACTTATTTTTAGCTGATGGGGCGTGTCCCCAATCCCAGTTCAGAATTCCATCAGCCCCGCTTAGCCGGAGACGTCCGATTCCAAACCGTCTGAAGGCTCCACAGTTTTCCGAAAAGAAGATCACAGAATCCATTAGGGCACCGACTTCGATTAAAGAAGCCTGTCAAGCGAAGTTAATCCCAAAATGGTCTATTGTACGAGTTATCATTGTTATTATACATATTATAGATATTCGAATATTATATAACTGCAGATATTCGAAACGAAAACAAAGCAGGAACACATACTTTCAAAACATAAAGAAAGGAAGGTGTCACAAGCCGATTTTCTGTAACTTATCCCTCGCCGGACCTATTGGTTTTCTACATACGCGCCGGCCGAGGGGGGGGGGGCGGGTAAGACCCCCCCCTCGCCGTTTCGCCCCTGGTGGAGCTAGCGCGTCGCGGAAAAAACGAGCGTGTGCGCCGTTACGAGACGCAGAGATTGGTACCCGATTTTAAGGTCCTAGGTCAACCGGTGACCTCTGAGGTCAGGTCAAGTGCCCCAAGGTACGGTTCGGTTTTTGGTGAATAACTTCGCAAAAAACGGCCGCAGAGCGCCGATTTTGGCAGCATCGTGTTCGCCTTGCTCAGGCGCGTCGAATGATGTACTTTTTGTCCGGGTCAGGTCAACTTGGGGTGTTGACCTCAGGTCAAGGTCAGGTCAGCACCCCCAGGTCACGAAGCTGGTCGAAAGAGGTCATGTCGCATATCATTCGATTCGGCAGGTCTTCCTGAGTCCATTGGTGGCTTTCCCGACTCGCTAGCTCAATTTGATCAAGAGTTATTGACGAAAAACTAATATGACCTTGATGACGTCATAAATGACGTCACGCAAGGTCAACATTGCAAAAGTGACGCATCTAACCTTGCAAGGAGTGCATAAAATCACGATTCTGTGTGCTTGAGATAGTTGGAGATCGTTCCCGGCGCCAGAATAGCAGTTTGAATTTTTCCCCATTGACTTATAATGGTGAGGTCACGAAAATGACCTGACCTCATATGACCTTTAGGAAAAATCCGAGATATACAAGTTGTGGGACTCATAATGGATACTAGATCCTGCAAGTTTCATTTCCCTGTGACATCTCCTCTGGCAGTGAGGGCGTTGCGAAGTTGCGACATCTGAAGACCGTGCAGAGGTTCACTTATGACGTCATAGGTCAGTGACCTGACCTGACCCAAAAATGCGGTTGGTGTCAAAAGATGCGGCTTGGATCAAAGGTCAGGTATGCCAAGTTTCAGCTCTCTATCGCCAGCGTGTTCGGAGCTATCGCGAAAAAACCCTATGGGGGGGCGGCACCCGCCCCCCCCCCTCGGCCGGCGAGGGTTATACATTTTCTGTAACTTATGTATATATAGAACAAAAAAAAAACACAAAAAAACACAGAAGCCGAGAATTTTGACCGTTATATAAATATCAGCTATGTTTCGGGACACACTCTAACCAAGGAGACTCAAAACTGAGCAAAACAAAGTGCATAATAGCAGATTCCGTTTGTATTCCCCAAAGAAAAAATAACCCTGAAGGCGACAATAACGATCATCCATATCTTAAACATGCAATATAAGGAAGTCAAGCATCTAGCAAGAAAAACATTCTCTCGACAAAGAAGCAATAAAAACGACAGATGAGCGGGCCGAAAGGACCGCTATTGTCCTCCAAAGAAATAGTCCCAGTGGAAATGTCCAACGCCACCGGAACAAACAGAATTGTCCGAGGCGACAGTGGGCTTCTTAAAATCATCGGATGTAGTTTTGAGTGCTCCGATGTTTTTAATTGATTCTGCGTTGTGCTAACGATTTACATTGTAAGATTTGCATGGATACATTCTTAAAGGTGCGAGGAATAAGTTGGTATTAAAAGGTTACGGAAATAATTTGTTACCTGAACGTAATTTCATCCATAAAATCATGTAAAAATGTAACTTTTCGCAATTTTTAAGAATCGAGCCAACCTCAAGATTTCTGAAAGTGCGCTTGAATTTTCGTTGGGTTTCACGTGAGGTCCTTTTACCCAAGCATCCACAAAAATGATTGACCCACAAAGCTACCGAGTTCGGATCGGTTTATTCAGCATGCGATGCAAACGTTCACCCCAAGAGAAGGCCCAAAGTTCCTCGAACGATGAACTGGCCTTGGGCCTCGCACTGGTTCTAACTCTCCTTATTATAGGAGGGGTGGAGCCTAATCCCGGACCGAAGAGAACAGTCAATGTATCGACCCAAAGCGAAGAAGTCATCTGCCTCACACGAAATGAATTAAAGCTGATGGTAGCCGAAGCTGTAGAAGTTGCTCTGCAAAAGAAAGCAACTGAATTTGGAGAAGCACTCGCCTCTGATCTACATGACGCGCTCCGGGCTGTAGATGACGAACTGGGCAGGTATGCCACAAGAATCAAGAATCTTGAGGCATGGAAAAATGATAATGAAACAGATTGGAAAATGCAAACAAATGGATGTCAAGTACAAGACCAAGCCACATCGGAAGTAACTAAAATCGGGTACATACCAGCACTGCAAACACAACAGAGGAAAAATAACGTGACACAAAATGAGACGGGCAAAGAGGTAACCGGTACCCTGCAAGACAAGGTGAAAGGACAGCAGCAAACAGTTGGAGATATACAAGAAAAAGAAGCCAAAGATATCCATTCGAAAAGATATGAAGAAAAGGGCTGGACAAGGGTAACTCGCAAAAGGAAGCAAAACAAATGGAGGAAATATGGGGGCATTCTCATTGGTGGACAAAATGTGACCAGAATTAAAGCCGCAGCCATGGATGAATTTCACTTCGATCGAAATGTGTCATTCGTCAACACCACCTCGGATAACTTCAAATACTCGTTAAGTAATATAACGGGTAGATCAAAAGCCGAAAACATCGAAGTAGTTATTCACCTAGGTGCCGATGACGCCCTAATACATGACGCAGATGGCATTCTGAAGAAATTGACGGACTTGGTGAAATATGCAACCCAAATTGGTAACGTGGAAACTGTCTCGGTTTGCTCTTTGGAAGAAAGGAGAGATGCTGGACCTGTCGTCTACCAGATCATTAATAAAGTGAACTCTCAACTGGCTCAATTCTGCACCTCAACAGGATCTACGTTCATTGATCTCAGACCCCGACTTGAAGAAACGAAACATGCGGGGATCAACAGAACAGGTATTCTGTACACCTTCGAAGGGGCACGCAACGCAGCGCAACATATCCTCGGACAGGTGCCAGGTTTTTTAGATTGAATGAGTCATTTTGTTCTGACGGCGATCTATCGAAGAACAACTCCGTTCAATCTCTCTATAGAAGTTGGCCGAATTTTCTAACAACCAATGCTAACGGTCTTTGTGCGAACACAAAACAATCAGAACTTTCAATTTTATTGAACACATACAATATTGATGTGTGCTTGATCACAGAAACTCACCTGGATGTAAAGGTATCTGATTGTCAAATATTTCAAGAAGGATATCAGTTAATACGCAAAGATAGAAACCTACGAGCTGTGAATAGAAGTAAAGGTGGCGGTATAGTACTGTACTTGAGAGAAGGCGTCCGTTACACCGTGCCCAATTTTGAAGTGCCTGAGGAACTGGAGATATGCTGGTGCGTTTTGAGACCGTCACAGGCAGAAAGCATTATCGTAGCTGGTCTCTACATTCCGCCTGACACAAGTGCACCAAGACGTCTTGCCATAACAGATCATGTCATTGAAAAGATTGATCATTTGCGATCACGCAGGCCCAAAGCAAAAACTGTTCTTTTGGGAGATTTCAATAGTGTGTTCGATGTCCATTCACTAGCACAGCAATTGAACCTAAAGCAAATCGTTACGGAACCTACCAGAGGTGCGTCAATTCTTGACATGATTTTAACTGATTGTGAAGCAGAGAGCACGCCTACCATTATTCCAGCCATTGGTACATCGGACCATGAAACGGTTGTCTGGATCGGTAGCGCACAAAACAAGAAATTTCACCAATATCGCACCGCAAGACCGATGAGAGCCTCGAACATCAGACAGTTTGGCCAATGGATATGTGAACAAGACTGGAATGACATTACCAGCTTTACTGATGTAGATCAAGCAGCCGAGGTGCTTGAAAATAAACTGAAAATTGCCTACGAAACATTCTTCCCGCAGATTACGTATAAATGCAGAAGAAATGATCCTCCGTGGATGACGAAGAGGATTAAAGAACTATTGATCCTACGTAACAGGGCACACAGCCGCCAGCAAACCAATCGCCTCAAACAGCTACGTGAGAAAGTACGATCTGAGATTTGTTCTGCGAAGACCCAATGGTACAGAAAGCGGATGGGTCAAGTCTCATCGGGCAAAAAGGCATCATGGTACAGAGAAGTGTCCAAATTAACTAATCGGCAGCCGAAGTCATGGGACTTCAAAACCACAGATGAAGCAACTTGTGATTCCGCAGCTGAGCTAATAAATAGACACTTTGCCCAAGTCTGTACGAC